GAATGACAAGAGAGATATAAATGATGTATGGAATAGATTTGTTATTTGTATAAAGAATATTGTATGTGAAAGTACTCGAATAGCATTATTTTGGTTCACGGTCGGTTCAAGCGACCCACGAGTGCTAGGAGAGTTCAATGTTCAATAATGAACCGTGTAATTTTTTATAAGTTCTAGGAAAGTTCAACGTTCAATAAATAACCGAGCAATTTTTTGTAAGTGCTGAGACCGTTCAATGGTCAAAACAATCGTATGGATTCACTAAAGTTCTTTCATTACAATGAAAAAATCGTTATAACGGTTATAGCCGTTCAAATAGTTTTATTCACTTATACTGTTATTAGACATATTATCCTTTGATTAGTAAATTAATAAAAAAACTTTAAAATAATAGTCATAAAATATTATCATTGAGACTATATTGCGAATTTAACGTACGAACTTTTGGCGGAATAACCAGACGTGTCAGTAACCGTTGACCAACAGTTTTAGTTGCCGCGATTTTTATTTGTCATTTTTACTATAACATTTTTTCAAATCATCAACGATTGATTTACTCTTTTTACAAATTATTTTTTTGAAACATTTGTCATTTTCACAGCGACTAGATAACTTGTTAATACTGCTCTTTTTCCCTGTTCACTTTTACATATATATATATATTTAACTGAAAAGTTCAATAAAATGTAAGTACATTTAATTTAAATTTAGGAGTAAAATAATAAATAGTTATTTTTATTAATTTTAATTGTAGCATATATTATTTTTTTTAAAGATAATCATAAATTTTAGTAACTACATTTATTGTAATTGTGGTAAATTGTATATTAAATTTTCGCATTTTGTATAATGATTAATTATAATTATAATACAAAATTACTTATTTTAATAAAGTACTATCGTTAATTATGTTGTTATTAAGTTATTAACGGACACCTCAAGATTTTCCATGAGCTTAAAATGTTGAATATTTTTAATCATACATCATTGTCGTTATCATCATATCCTTAGCCTTTATCCCAACTATTTGGGGTCGACTCTAGCTTATTTTAAATCGTCTTATTTATTGATTTTTATTCATACATGTGATACAAATTACTTCTGTATTTCAATATTTAAAATGATGCATTTTCTTTATTTCTCAACATTGTATACATTGAAATACCATCTCTTAAAAAACTGTTGATTTTTAATGAAAATCCCTCTATTGTGCTACTCAATAATTTAAATTTATCAAACATTTTAAGTTAAAAAGAATTGCATCTATTTGAATGAGAATTATATTTCAATACTTCAAATTTTAAATAAATAAAAAGTATTAAGTTTAAGGTTTTCACCGTTTAACAATTAACAGGGTTTTACATTAAACAAGTAAATCGAACTAAGTCTGGAAGATTAATTTTGAAACTACAAAGAAAAAATAACTTTTTAATTTATACTATATTTTTTAAAGAAAAATTTACTTGAATGATTTTGGGATGTCGTGTGTACAGATCACAATATGATGTTGGTTAAAATGCTGTCATTGAATAAGCCATAATGTTTCAAACAATATGAATATTGTTGGTGTAAATCTCAAACAGACTTACTCCTTTTTATTGCAGTGAAAAAATACTGGTTATATCATAGTACAACTAGTATTTTTATTGTTTTCTAGATAGCAATTAAAAAATCACTGGATAAAAAGAGATGAAGATGATGATACAACCTGTATACAGGAGCGATCCTAGTAGTAAATTTTAGGGGGGTGTGAAGTGAATTTTGTCGACAAAGTACTTTCATGGGTACAAAATTCTACAATTTATTCTAAAAATTCCTACTTATGATTTTAATTAACTTTGGGGGATATGACATCCCAACACTCTTCTATGAAATAGTCTCTTCTACACTACATGTTTTTCCTGTGCTCTGTCCATCTTTTGTATAGATATACTACATTTTCAATAAATAAAGAAAAACAAGTCAATTGTTACGAACAATGGGAACCCTTTTCCTTAATTTTTGAACCCTTGTATATTCTTCACAAATATATTTACTAGTTATTATATGTACTTATGTTTGTTTATTTTTTAGATGCTATGCCTGACCAATTCTTAATACCTGAACACGAAATAACATGTAACAAAATGATAGATAATATTTTTAGCATTCTGGTAATAATAAAGCATCGCACCAATAAAATCCTATTGTTTTTTTGTTATTCAATTACATTCTATTTATTTGTAAATGATTTTTTAAATTTATTTACTTAGATTGTTTCACGGTTTTTTTATTAATAAGTTAAAACAAAATACAGCATTTTAGGAATCAAAATAAAAAAAGTAAAAAAAAAACATAGCAATCTTATGCCATCTTATTGAATGCTACTTATGTGTATTACTCCTTCTGTTGTACTTATGGCAATGATTTTCTTTTATTCCATTTCATGGAAGTTAAATTAAAATTACTAATTGTTTTTATAACCACAGTAATATTTTTTGTTATATCAACTATTGCAATTTCATAATTTTCTGTACCAATATTAACTATACAAGGTGTTCAGTAAATAAGGAAACGAATTTCTATTGTACTCATTGTTTGTAACAATTTAACTGTTTCCTAACTTACTGAACACTCTGTATATTCCTTGTCTAAATTCTATAACACCTTAGTGATTAACTTATTATGATAAAATATTTGTATTGGATTTTTTTGATAAATAATAAATCAAACTGAGTTACAGTAAATAAATTGCTGACATATCTAACATCATTATTTTTATTTAAAATTATCTATTGTTATTAATTTATATTAATTATAATCAAATTGTATGAATGGATTGTTTACTAATTATCATTTAATATAAAATAAAATAAACCTAAAGGTTAACTATTTTACTTTATATATACAGATAATACATTGTGTATATAGTAATACAATATATTATTTTAAAATTATAAAATTTTTGAATATTTAAAAAACCTATAAATTTTATTTTAAATACCGTAACTAATTGTTATCGAGCGTTTTATAACTGAACCGAGGAACGGTCTTTGAATTCTTACTGAACAATTGTAGAACTCAGTTCACCTCATGTTAAAATCCGTATTCAAATCTCATTTTGAACCGTGCTATGAACGGGTTTTGAACTGAGTTCAGCACTTTTGTTACTATATTAAATGAACCCGGTATGAACTCGAATTGCTACTCGGGTAAGAGCAAAAATCCAGGAAACGAAGAAACTTGGTGGTGGAATGAGAACGTTCAGAAAATTATAGAGAGTAAGAAAGAGCAGTTCAAAGTATAACAAAAGAACTAAATATGAGAATATTGGATGTAATGCAAACGCTTTTATAAAGAAGTCAAATGTGCGGTAAATAAGGCAAAAATTAAGAAATATCATAAGTTGTATTATTGGCTAGGAATAAAGGAAGGTGAAAAAAAGTCTAAATTGGCAAAAGTAAGTGAAAAACAGTCTAAAGATTATCGCTATTTAAGGTGTACAAAAAATGATGATAAGAGGATGTTAACGAACGATGATGATGTGAAAAAAGATGGAAAGAGTATTTTGAAAAATAACTGAATGAGAAGTATCCAAGATGGACATTAGAAGATATCTCATGGAATAAGGGATTGGTAGATTAAATTAGTGAGAAAGAGATATGGCAGGCTGTAGAATTAATGAAAAAGAATAAAGCAGTAGGACTAGATGAAGTGACAGTAAAATATGAAAAATTTAAGATGTTGACATAAAATGAACCTTTTTAATAAAATTGTATTATATGGGAAAATGCCAATAAAATGGAGGTATAGTATTATGGTACTGATACAAAGATATAATATGATGTTATTTAATGCAATACGAGGACGGCTAATGTGTGTGTAGACGATGTGGGAGATTGTTTCAGGTGAAAATTTAGGATAAGAGCAAATTCAAGTTGTTGTGATAAAGGCAAGGTAATCTCTAAATATTTATCTATTTTAGATAGTTTAATTTTTTCTTGCTCAAATAATGATTTTCTTCTTTTTGGTGATTTAAATTTGCCAAATTTAAATCAAGCATCATTAAATTCTAAATTAAACTTATTCATTTCTGAAGCCATTTTTGAAAAATCTAGTATTTCTTAATTTATTTCAAATAAATACAATTTCCAATAGATTTTCTCCACATAGCCTGACTTATGTCAAAATAAAACAAAGAACGTCAACAAATCCGCATGTATACTTCAGGACGTTGAGTTCATTCAATAACTAGTAATATAATAAATAATATTACTAATGATGAGAAACAATATAATTTCACAAATTGATATTCTGTAATGCCAGTCGATATATTTTTTAACTCTTAACAATGTACTTTGCTATCATACAATAGGCATATCTGAAGAAAGTCATAATTGCACAATAAATGTTACGTATCTGCGAATAGCGACATCATAACAAAATAGCTACCTGTATTTGTATTAATTATGTTATATCATGTCAAAATTTTGAAACTTAAAAATTTTATATTTAATAAACAAATAAAGATTTGTTATTATTTTGTTTTATTATTAAAATAAAAACTCAAATATTTTATTAAATTCAAAATATTTGTTCTCATTAGAAAAAAAATAAGTCAGCACCCTTACAAGGCATAAGGGATGAACTTAAAAAATATTACATAACTAATAATTCAAGAATAATATGTAACTAAAGATATTCAAAAGAAAATATTTCAACATTATTTTTATTCTATTAACAATTTGGTGGTTTATGATAAAAAAATCCCTCTATATATCGAATCAAATTTTTGTCCCATTATCGATATCATTTTCGATTTTTTGTCTAGATATCGATATATTCATATATTAATTCAAAACGACACTATATACTACTGCTGGAACAACACGCCATTTAATGGAGTGAAATATTTGATAAGATTTTTCACCAATCATGTTGATAGCTGTTAAATTAAAAATTAGAACCAAAGACCGACTAGAGGATTATTTTTTGTATGATAATTAATTAATGCTATATTTTATGTTAAATATAATAAACCTTGATTAATTAACTATAAAGAACATTAATTTTCTTTATAATAGTCTGATTTGTTATTTAAACTTTAAGAAATATTTAATTTTTAAAAATATTGTAGTCTATGAATCTTGTCAAATAATATTTAACTAAGGTAATAATTAAGTATAATAATTTATCTTATTTAGTATTCGAATAAACTATTTTTGTTATAGAGTTATAAATTTGAATAATTTATTGATTATTTTTTTATTAAAATGGTATTTGTTACCAATTACTTTTTTATTAATTATCTGTTAATAGAATTTTTTTTAAACAATAGTTTAGTATTATAAATAATTAATTATAATACTAATAAACGTCTAAATTAGAAAAAACTAGTTTATCTTTAGGGTTTTTGAAAATTATTCATTTAGGTCTATTGAAGATGAAAAAAATTAAAAGTAAAAAAAAGAGTTAATTTTATATTTAAAATAGAAAGAAATATTATTTTTCTTGTATATACACTTGCCTTTGTACATTTTAAAAAACGCTCGTTTTTTACTATTCATATTGTATACCAGAGGTAAACTATCATAAGTCATTTAAAATAGTCTCACTCCATTTAAAAAAATGTATCTTGGGATATTTACCTCTTTTGTATAGATTTCATAACATTAAATCAGACATAACTTTCGATTTTAATAACACAATACTGTGTTTTCTCTACTGTACATCACATTATTAATTAATCTGTATAGAAATTTAGATTATTGAGGTATCTAAACAGATATAAATAAGTGTGTATAAACCTAGTGATAATTTCATTGATATGACACCTTAAACAATAATCCTGTACTGTACATGATTTCTGGTACATTTTCCAAGACTAGCTATCATTTCTGAAAGGGATCAAATCTAGGTCTCTTATATAGAAGATGGGAATATTTACTACTATACTCTCAAATTCTAAATAATACTTGAATACAGATATTTTATTTTATATTAGAACAATCCCCAGCAATGCTTCTCTTAAAAACATTTTTTATTTACTTATTAAAGTAACTAAAATTTTGAAAAATACTCAGTTAATTCTACTTGTTATGTAAAACTTAGGTATTATTATTAAAAACTGTTTGGCTTATAATATTATAAATAAATATTAAATTTATTTGTTAGATAATGTCTACTCTAAATAAAATATCGATTCAAGGCATTAGAAGTTATCATCCAGATGAAAAACAAACTGTTGTTTTTCAAAAACCTTTAACATTAATATTAGGTGATAATGGATGTGGTAAAACCACAATAATTGAATGTCTCAAGTATGCTACTTGTTCAGATCAACCTAAAAATACAAAAAATGGAGGATTTGTCTGGGATCCAAAACTGTCTGATCATATGACTGTAAAATGGATAATTATTGAAATATTTAAACTTTTTATTTATATAACTATTCTGTTTTTAGGTAAAAGGTCAAGTAAAATTATATTTTAATGATACCAAAAATGTCTCTGTGGTAGTTTCTAAAACATTAGAGTCAACACAAAAATTAAAAAATATTACTACTAGAAGTTTGGATCAAACAATTTCTATTAATGTATTATAAACAAATTTATGTAAATTAACTATAGATTTTCAAAAATATTTTTGTATATATTTTTTTTAGGGAAGTTCTGCATCACATAAGTGTGCTGATATTGATGAAATAATGTGTACCCACTTAGGAGTATCTAAACCTATTTTGAGAGATGTCATATTTTGTCACCAAGAAGATTCAAATTGGTAAAATGATTATTATAAATCTAAAAAATAATTAATATGAATATTTTTATGAGTAAATAAAAGTTAATTTTATTATATATATATATATAACTTAATTTTTGTAACATTACATGAGAAATAGTTTTTTGTTATTACTAAAACTATTTTTTGTGTACATAACAAAAATGTGTTTTCATTATATTGAAAAGTGTCATCTAAACAAGTTTGCTTTCTCTATCAGCACTATTTAATTCAAATTATCAGGATCAAATTAAAGGGGTTTAATTTCAGGGAAATGGTCCTATGATACTACTTGAAACATAATTATTTCATTCTTTTTTATTTATTTATTATGTTTAAATATTTATTCAGTAATTATTTTGTGAATAATTACTAAAAAATGATTAATATATTTATTTATGTCAATTATTATAAATTTAAAAATCAATTTAAGTAATTATACCATAAAACAAACCAAATATAATGTTTTTTGTTTTCATTTTACAAAGATAAAATCTATTAATTACTTTATTAATATAAGCTAGAGCTATTCACTAACTCTACTAGAAAAGGACTAGGAAGACTAGATCTCTAATTTTTAAATTAGCACTCCTTCACAAATTTAGAAATCAATATTTATTTTATGAGCATATTTTTTATGATGGAAGAAATATTTTACTTTCTTTTGCAATAATTTTTTAAATTGTGGTTATGAAGATACTCATATGATGGTTAGACCTATCTTGAATGAGATAATCTGGTTTCATATTAACCTTAGTTTTGCAGCACAAATTATCACTTGTAAAATTTTGATTGTTAACTGATATATTTTATTTAATAGGAAGCCTATTATTTTTATACTTATTGCCAATTATTTTAATAAAAAATGCACCAATTTTTGATTCAAATAGAATTCTGTTGTATTTAACTGCAATAATATAAAATAACTCTAAACCTTATTTTTAAAGGCCACTTGATGAAGATAAAAAACTAAAAGAGAAGTTTGATTCTATATTTGATGTTGGAAAATATGATAAGTGTATCGATCAAATACGGAAAGAAATAAAAGGAATTAAAGAAGGTAGACTAAATCAATTATATTAATAAATAGATAATATTATTAATTATCAAGGCATACAAATGTTTTGGCTCAACAATTATTATTTTTATAATATTAAGTAGTCAAATAACTAATAAATATAATTTTAAATTCTCTTAAATTACAAGACCCACTTACTGTAAGAACAAAATTATTCAGTGTATTACCTATATATTTTGGAATTTAAAATTAGGAGAAAGAATTATAATTAATTAAAATTAAATATATTTAACACTTATATCAGTTATTTTTCATTAAAATTCATAAGTATTAATAGCTATTTCATTGCATTGAATGGTTTTTTTTAATAATTGTTTTAAAATAGGCATTTTTACCCTTACTTATTCTTTTCCCGAGATTATTTTGTTACTATTTAAATTTAGAAATCTTCATGAGCACTAATAACTCATGAAATAATTCTTTTATAATTTGATGAAAAGTATACATTACAAGTAAATAAAAAATCATACATTTGTTTTTGAATTAAATTAGAAGTAGTCATATTTAAAGTTATTCATTCAATAATTTTTTAGATCAAAAATTGAGTGAAAATAATATTCACTTTAAAAAAGGATTGAGAGATGAAGCAAGAAGTAAAAGAGCCACTATTGATGAAAAAAAAGCAAAATTAGAAGTTTTGCGCAGTGAAATTGTTAAAATAGATGAAAAAGTTATTCCATTAGAAACAAGAGATAGAGACATTTCTAACATAGAAAATCAATTGTCAAAACAACAGGGAGAATTGATATGCTTAGAAAAACAGCTAATATATATTAAAGAAGCACAAAATAATTTACAGAATGAAATAATAATTGAATTTAAGGGGAGTGATTTAGAACTTGATGAAGAACTCTTTAATTTTAATCAAAATTTACTGTAAGTTGTTTTAATTTTTTAAGCCAACAAAATAAGTTTTAAAAGATACATTTTATTTTGTTTGGTGTAGGAAATTGATCACATGCTTTAAACTTTAAATAATTTAAATAATTTAAAAAATATATATTTATGTTTTTTAACTTACCAAGCTATAAAAGACACTATTGCAATGTATGGAGTTATGCTATATCAGCATGATTATTTACTAAACTATACTAAAAAAAATAGTTAACATTTTTTCAAAATATATTTGATCCTTTTATGTTCATTTAGATGTTATTAAATATCTTCATGCACAATAAATCAAATTATTAAGTGGAAGCTATTAATTTTATGAAAACTTAAAAAATAATACTAAAAGATTAAGTCTTAATATCAATGCATTAATATATAATATCAAAAGAATGCAATTTAATACTTTTTAATAAAGCAGGGACATTTTACATTTTCCTAATTTAATTTGAATATTAAGCTTTCAGTAAAGGAAGAAAGGGGTCTCATTTCCCCCTGCACAATATTTTGAAATGTCTCTAATTGTATGAATACATGAAGCACTTAAAGTATTATAGGAACATAAGCATCCCAGCATTTTTTGTCCACTTTTATTCATACTTCATACTTCACTATGAAAAAATAATAATTTATAATAATATTTTTTGTGTTTTAATTTTAGGCAAAAAGAAGAAGAAAAAAATAAATTAGAAATTATTATAGCCACAGCATATAATAAAGAAAAGAACACTCAAGAAAAATTAAATAAAGAAGAAATAAAACGTGGACAGTATTTAAATGAAGAAAAGCAACAAGCAAACTCTATTCAAAATCAAAACCTAAACTTATCTAAATTAGTACAAGAAATGAATATTGATTGTAAGTACAATTAAAATCTGTAGTTATGAATATATCCTTATTTGGTTTTGTTTTTTAAAGCAATTCATTAAATGAAATCTACAATTTAGATTTAGATTTCGAGCTTTTATTTTTAAGTTTGTTTTTATTAGTTCAAAATAACATTATTGTAATATAATGTTTATACAATCATTTGGTGTCATATTAAATTTTTATAAATTCTTTATGAAAGTTGTAAGAACATTAAAATATTTTAGTGCATGATGAAATAACAGAATCTAACCAAAAAGAAGCTATAGCTAAACTTTCAGATTTTCTTAAAAATATGAACAATTCATTAGAGTTAACTAAAAATCAAAATAGCCAAGTCGAACATGACATTCAATTAGAAATGGATAAAATAAGGGAGATGAAAGCAAAACTGGAACATGAAATTCTTTTAAAAGAAAAACAATTAAAAGAAAACCAAATTGAAATTACAAATGCTAAAAAAGCCATTGATCGAGTACTTAAAAAATTAAAAATTTAAAAACAATGTTACTAATGTTTTAATTTTTAGGTAAAAAGTTCAGCAAATAAACTTCTAACCCTCAAACAAGAGTCATTAAATGTTGATGAAAAACTTGAAAATTTATATATTTCTTTGGATGTAAAACGTATAAAAAGCGAAATAAGTGTAAATTATGATGAAAAACTTGAGTAAAAAAGAAATTTTTATAAATTGTAGTCAGAACCGTAGTGTGGGAGTGACGACTAAGGCATTTGTTTTAAATGCTAGATAATTATAATTGGTTCTTAACAGAAGTAGAAGATTCTTTATTTGATGTTCTATTACCAAGTTCAGTTGGTAATGTGTCATGCCTAGATTTGAAGGTACTGGAGTCCAACTCTGTTTTGCTGGGCTTTATAGGTTTTATATCCTCTATGGTACAAGCATTAGTTTTTTATTAATATGTTAAACATAAGCATAAAAAATAATAATAAACAAATGGTAAGCATTTATTTAATGAATGGCTAAAATTAATTAAGACAAATAAAGATTATTAATTAATACATGTGATTGATGCAAGATTAATTTATAAAAGGTAATTTTTTAAGTTAACTTGAACTCCTATGAATATTAATCTTCATTTTTAAAAATAAAATAGAAATAATTTGGGTTGTCAACAATTTCTTAATTTTCACATTCTTCGGTAAGATTTCTTTCCTTTTCTTTTTCTTTTTATTATATTTTGGCTTTTTTGACAAGTTAGGTACTTGAAAAATAGGTAATACTTATTCATCTTTACAAATTGAAACAGAATCCTTAATATTCTTATTTTCGTCAGTATTGTGTTGGTCTTGTTTAAATTCTCTTTCTTCATTTAAGTTTTATTCTAAACTATCAGTTATTTTACTATCATTATCTGTTTTCTACTTTTCCGTCGTGTCTTGCTCATTTACAAAATCTTCCTCTATGGACTGTTCACTGTTACTTTCAATTTGACATGTTTGGCTTCTTTCTTCTGGGTTATTGGTTATCTTATCATCTATATCAGTTTAGTTTTCTTGGTTAGTATTATGTCGATCTTGTTCAAATTCTCTTTCTTTGTGTAAGTTAAATTCTATGCCATCATTTATCTGACAATTATTATTTGTCTTGTTTTTTTTTATATTTCTTACATCTTTTACATGTTCTTTAACCTTCTCTAGATTATTGGACTTATCTAATATATTTTTGCATTGATTTTTGATCATTGTATTATTAGAATTCTTAATTAATGTTGCTTTCTTTTCAAAAAAAAGAAATTTTGTTTTTTATTCCTTAAGAAGTATTAATAATATTAATAATGTTTTTTTATTATTATTTATGGCCAAGTGGGTTATACACACAGTGATCGAATTATAATAAATCAATTTTGATTTTTTTTTAATTCTATATATTATCTTATTTATCATCTATTAGTTACTTTTATAATTATTTATTATAACTTATAGGAGTATCAACTTTATTTTTTCACTTGGGTGCATATATAATTAAATAGCTTATCTATTGAATAACGATCTAATTAAGAAAATAACTGGTGAATAATAACTTTTGGATCAATATTTCAGAAGTTATTAACAATTTAAAGTTATGATTGTTGGTAAGGATTGGGTGCTGCTGCTAATTTTATCGCTAGACATTACTTGGGCGTACTCTTTTCTTGAATAAGTATAAAAATGAGAAAGCTTCGAAGTATTGATCCAAAAGTTGTTATCGATTATATAATTTGCAATTAATAGTTGATAAATAAAATAATATTACTAAAAAAAATTTTCTTTCAATATTGTATTTAATTTGTGAATAATCTTATGGTTTATGATAAACCAATTACTCTGTATTATTGTGTGATATCAAATAAAAAATATATCTTTTTTTTTATTATGTGTTAGTCACTACTAGAACCTTAGACTAATCTAACTACTTTATACTTAAGTTGGAACCTTTTGATTCTATGCTACTCATAAAATGTTAGTATGTTTAGCGTTGATAATAGTAATGTTGTTCCCCAATTATGTAAATTAATATTAGCTTCGATGCGAAGCTGAGAAGGTATTGGTTTTACTATGATGTGTTTTTTTTGTCTGTTACCACTTTTTCTTAGCTCTCACCGAACGGATTTCTTTCGACGATACGTCAAAAGATCACAAATCGTATCTAGTCGAAGACATTACCCTTAAAAATTGAAATAAATTCCCTCATTCCCCGTAAATGGGAAAAACCTCCAAAAAAATTACAAATTTAAAAATTGCTAATTTTTGAAATTTTTTCCATNTTAAAAATTGAAATAAATTCCCTCATTCCCCGTAAATGGGAGAAACCTCCAAAAAAATTACAAATTTAAAAATTGCTAATTTTTGAAATTTTTTCCATTTTTTTACTAAAAACTGCCGTAACTTTTTCAAAAATGAACATTTCAATATAATTTTTTTTTTATAGATGCTTGATGTCTTTATCTATCATTTGGTATATATTTTTTGTAAATCTGACACTTAACCTGCCCATAGGAGGGATTTAAAATGACAACTTTTTCACAAAAAATTAACTTATACACTTAACTTTTGAAAGTGTTCTGGAAAGTCTGACACTTTTATATATATCTTAAATTAGAGCTAATGTAATTTACTTTATTATGCAAAAAAAAAATTTTGGACTTTATTTTATCTTCACGGTGAAAATGGCTACTGAATGCTATTTTCCTGTGAAAATTCTCGATTTTATTTTTTTAATTTTTAACTCTATAATGCTATAACTTATTGAATAGTGTATGGATCAACAACATTTTTTTATGAGAAATAATATTTTTTAATAATCCCTTTTTCATTCGACATACTTTATCTTAATCAGGGAAATTAATAAGGAATTAACAGATCATGTAACTTTTGGAATAATCCAACAATTTTTTAAAATTAAACAATATCTAATGATTTACATCGAAGCATTTTTTTTTTAAAGTGATTTTAATCACTGTCAGATATCATTATACTTGATCCAACTATGCACGTTACCACTGTGCCGCGACCCCCCTGTGCTGGGTTTTTTTAATATAATTTTAAATAATATTGACCACAAATGATCAATTTTTTACACCATAAAATAATTATTCATTTTATTAAATTTTTATTTTAAATTATAAAAGTATTTTTTATTTAAAATTTTTAAATAGGCCATATAGAATAATAACAGTTTCTCTTACATAAAATTGAAAAAGTATAATTTTTTTTTTTTGGACGTTATAAAGTCGTGTACCAAAAATTCAACACAATGAAATTTTGTGAAGCTTAATCTCTATTTGATTAAACTCAGCATTAGAGAGAACAAAAATATTAAAATATTTGACAAATCATTATTTTTGATAAGAATATCATAAAATGTATTCTGTAAATTATTTTGATTTCTTTGCTTGTATTAATTACTGAAACTGTCCAACTATTTGTGTTGGTCGATTGAATTCCAAAATAAGTTATTTCATTTTTTTGTTTACTTATATTAGTTTTATCAGAATTTTTAATTAACTGTTTGAAAGCTAAAACCGTACTAATCACTTTTTCAGTATATATATTTTACATTGTTTTTGGTATACACTTATAACTATAATATATGATTAATGTAAAACTAATTACAATTAAACAAGAAATAAAGAATTTTAAACAATATTAACTTTGATAATTCAAAAATTTAAGTACTCAAGAATGAATTATACAAAATTAAGTCTGCATGTACATTTATAAAATGTAAATGTGTGTTTTTCTATAAAAGCAAAATAGTTGTTTGTATATTGTTTATAAAATATGAAAAAGTATTAAGCCTGTAATTTAATATTATTATATTTTCATAAAAGGAATCATTAAGTTGTAACTATAATAAGACTTTAGTAGTTCTTATCTGTTATTCTATTAAAATGAATAACAATGTCTTATAATAATCTATACTATTTAATAAGTTCAAATCATCAAATAAATATTCTACATGGAATTTGGTTTTTGGCTTATACCAAAAAATTGATCTTGGGCGTCAGAAAATCCTCCTATGGTTCTGTTAGTAGCATTATTTTATTTATTTTTAACAAATAATTTTAGTTTGGAGTCAAAATTGAAAAATGTGGATGAGGAAGTACAAACATTACAGTTACTAAGTGTTGATCAAGCTGAGCTCAATACAATAAAATCAAATAAGTGTGGTATTGAAAACAAACTGACTATCCTGTATGTTAGATATTATTATAACTAAATTAATTGATTTTATTAAAAATTAAAGTGTACGTTTTAATTTTTTTTAGTAAAAATAAAGTCAATCATGTTTTAACTAATCTACTTGGAAGTATTCCTAAAAATAATTTGAAGTATGAATTTAATTTAGCATTGGAAAAACTGGTATAAAATAATCAAAAATAATAATAAATTTTAAAATTGTACTTCAATAAGTAATTATTCATTTTAGACTAATACAATTAAAACTAATCGAAAATTGGTAACCGAAAAGCAAAAACAGCTAACTACACTCGAAACTAGTCACAAGCATAAAATAGAAAATTTACGGGCTAAACAAAAAACCCTGACTGATGATGAAAATGCTATGTATGAAATGTGTCAAGGTCAGGAATATGAATTAATTTTAAAAGAAGTTAATGAAAAAGTTGAAGAGTTACAAGTAAAATATAGTTTTATTGAAAAATGTTTTTTTTTTTTTTTGTTATAGGAAATTAATTTTTTATTGTATTATTTTTTAATTAAAAAGGCTTTAAAAGGTTCTGTTTCTACATCAGAACATCTTTTTAAACAATATATAAAAAAATTAGAAGCTGAAAAACCATGCTGTCCATTATGTCATAGGAGTTTTGGAACAGTTGATGATGTTACAGAACTTATAAATGACGTAAGAAATTTTTATTCTGAAACAAAATTAAGACAAGATGTGTCAAATGTTAATTATAACAATAATAAATTATATATTGAATATTAAATCCAAAATGAAAGTATAAAATGTTGGGTATGAAATTTTATGCCCACATCCCTTATTTTGAGTTATAAAATCATTTAAACAATTTTTTATTCTTCTAGAATACATTTTTTTTTTTAAACTTAATTTTTTGACAAACTTATTTTTATATGTATTAATTTTGATAAATCATTTTTATTTCATAATAGCTGAGTATAAGAGTTCAAAAAATTCCCGATGAGCTAGAAAATACAGTTTCACAGTTAGAAACATTTCTGGAAAAACAAACAAACCTGCATGAATTAAAGCCTATATACACTCGCATTTCTTTACTAAGTGTTACAGATATACCCAATCTCAAGTAATAATTAAATGTATAAATTAACTATTTATTACATGTTGCACGATAGAAACTCTAATCCTAAGAACCTTATGTTTTAAAATACACATTATTATTATGATTAATCCGTTATACAATATAAAAATTATTAAGAACGACTTTTTAAAATTAATAACTTAATTGATAACACTAGTACAATTTATTTATGTGTGTAGAAAATGATGAATATAATTTTTTTTTAAGTAAAAAGACAGTGTTAATATATATTTTAATTGATTTATTACTATATAGTTTAATTAAACATGATTCATTATAATAATTGGTAGAATTTAAGACTTAGTGGAATTATTACTTTAACTCATGAATTAAATTGGTTATTATTCTTAGTGTAAAGTATGTATATTTTTATTCTAGAAATGAAATTGTAAATATTGAAGTAAAAATGAAAAATTGTAGAGAAGAATTAAGTCAACTTTCAGAAAATAATAGTAAATTAGAAGTAGACGAATCTAACACGAAGGCCATTCAATCAGATATAACATTGATTGATAGTTATACTAATGAAATCTCTCATTTAGAAAAAAAAGAACATCAACTAGAAAACAAATTAAGTATAACTGGATTTAAAAAAACACTTCAAGAAGCATTATCTGAACAAAGTTCTATCAGATCTCTTTTGTATGATACTAATAAAAGTTTGGAAAATAATCAGAATGCTTTAGCTAAGTACAATGAAATATTACATGAGTTACAACAAAAAAAAAATAAGATTACTTCTGAGGAATTGGATATTAAAACTCAAGTGCAAGCTGAAAAAGGTTTAATGGATAAATTAGTTGATTTACAAACTCTGAAAACATCACTAAGAAATGAATTAGATGTTGCTATTAATTCTATTGAACCCGTTAAAGATAACTTAAATAGATGTTCTAAATCATTAGAACAAAAAAAAAAAAAACATATTTTGCTAATTGAAGAAGAAGGAAAAAAAGTAATAAGATCTATTTTTTATAATAAATCTCATGTACAATAATAAATCCTAGTTATGTCATTGTTTAAAGCACAAGATTTATAAATAAAATTTTATTGTATACATGCAATATTTTATATTCATTTATTTTTCACAAATATCATACCCTTGACATTAGGTAAAAAAGTAATATAGGAGATCAAATTCTATAGCAAATGCTTAATACATAACATTTTTGAGAAATCATTAACATAAGTTCTAATATCTAATATAATATACAGAGTGATAGATCTATTGATTTATTGATCTATAACCACTGCATTAAATTTTATTTACAAATCTTGTGCTTTAAACAATGACATGACTAGGATTTATTTTCAATTAAATTATTAAACCCTGATATTATATTTTTATTGTATAACTAATTAAAGCACATGAATAATTACTTTTTTAGAGTTAACCCATTTATTCAATAAAGTCATATATATTCAGTGGTGCTTAGGATAACTTTTTAAGTAAAAATTTATAAAATTTAATTTATGTCATACATGTATTAAAAAAGTATATGTCCGTATTAGTGAAACAAAATAAGTCATACATTAACTATATCATAAAATATCATAGCAATTTTATGATTCAGGTTTTTGTAGTAATAAAAATAAGCATATACATGTGTGTTTGAAGATTTGGTCAATTTGTGAGCTACGAGGTTCTAGTTATTAGTTTATTGTATTAAACTAAACATAACATGATAATTATTTTAATATAAGATACACAGTATACAATAATTAATTTAACATGTATATACATATAGAATAACTAGTGTATAACAATGTATATTTTATGACAGATAAATTAATTATTTGTTTGTATACAAGTAATATAAAAAAATTTTTTATTGATAAATGTAAGATGCGTAATGCAAAACATTTGTGCATATTATGACATTTTTTTGTTAATATAACTAAATCATTTTTTTTTGAGTCATGACATAAACTCATATTTATAAATTTTCGACTTGGAAAGGTTTTCCTAATCTCCATAGAAATAAGACACATTTACTTAATAGCTTCTTACTCTAAATATTAGTAAAAGGTTTCGTGTAACAACTTTGCAATAACTGTTGTAAAATTCTAGAAATTTTAAAAAAAAATTATATTATTTAATTATCTAAAGAATATTTTGAAGATACTACATAAGGTACATCTATTTGGTTATAGATTAAATGGTTAGAAAGAAAATTGGATGAAACAATAAGTTTGCAAAAAATAATTGATGATTATAATGAAAATTGTAATTCACAACGAATTAAAGATGTAGAATTTATAATAGCAAAATTAAAAGAAGAAATACAGTATTTTATTGATGAACAATTAAAATATCAAAAAGAAATTGATTTTATCAAAGAATTTTGCACCAATCAAAGGGTAGTGAAAAGAAAAAATGAATTATTTATTGTAATAATAATAAAATATTATAATTCATTATTATAGGCACAAAAATTTGATTTTGAAAACAACAAAAAACTAAGAAATAAACTCAAAGAAGAAAATAAATGTATTGCAGAAATAAACAACCTGAAAACTAAAATTGGTGACAATGATATAAATGAATTATTATTGGAAAAAAAAAAAATTAGACAAACATTAGAAACTTTTTATTCTGAGGTATACTCAAACACTTAATTTTTTTGTATTTTTAGTATCCTGCTATAGATCAACACTAATTAATTCATTTTATTGCTTTATTTTAGAAAAATTTTGCTAGAGGAAAAAAAGAAGAAATTGATAATATTATTCAAAAGATCAGTACAGAATTAAATAACAGTGCTTATAAAAATGCAGAAAGTAATTATTTAGATGAATTGGTTCAATTTGAAGTTTTAAAAAAAGTGGAAAATGATTTGAACAAGTATTGGAGAGCCCTTGAATATTCATTACAATTATTTCATAAAGATCGGATGTTAAGTATCAATGCTATTATTAAAGAACTTTGGAGTTCTATATACAATGGAAATGATATAGACTATATTGAAATTAAAACATCTGATGATGACTATAAACAATTGACAGAAACAAGTATTAACAAAATTAAAATTTTCTTTTTTCTTCTAACTTTTTTTAATGAACTTTTAGGCAAAAGAAGAACTCATAACTATCGAGTTGTACAATGGAAAAATAACATTGAATTAGATATGCGAGGAAGATGCAGTGCTGGTCAAAAAGTACCTTTAGTCGTTACATGTAAATTTACTTTAATTCATTACTTTATTTTATATATTTTTGATTATTAGGTTTTAGCTTGCCTTATAATCCGAATGGCTTTGGCTGAAACATTTAGTAAAAACTGTGGTATACTTGCACTTGATGAACCAACAACTAATTTAGATGAACCTAACATAGTGAATTTAGCAGATTCATTGTCACAGTATGTAAAAAAAATTTTTTTTTAAATATCTACTTATCAAAAATAGTGACACAATTCTGAAATTTTAATTATTCTGATTTATGCACCAACATGAATAAAAATAACTAATCTTTTAACCAGGAAATTTCATTAACCCTTTCAGTCCCAACTTTTCCTTTTTATCTAAATAATTCAAAATCAATATTTTATTAATAGGTGATCCTAGAATAGACTAAAAATCGATTTTCAGATTAATCTATAATTAAGCATTTTTTCTAAGAACTTGAAAACCACAATGGAAAATTAAAAAAGTGTATATAGATACATTGTGTACTAAGGTACTAGAAGGATTATTTTTAATAATAAAATCATTTTTTTTAAATAGCCGTTTTTTAGAGCTTTTATTACAAAAAAAAAGACTTAGAATTAACTTCAAAGCTATTATTTGTTTTAGTATTTAAATTTTAGTTTTTGTAATATTTTGTTAATAATATTGATTATTATAAAGATAATTGAAATTGAGTTACACTAATTTAATAAGAATTTATTTAATTTGTATCTAAATGTTTTATGTTAAAGAATAATAACTCGTCGTAGTTGTCAAAAATCATTCCAACTAATCATCATTACTCATGATCCTCAATTTTTACGCAAGCTATCAGCCAGTGATAAAGTTGATAAATTTTATAAAGTGAAAAGATGTCGTAAAAGGTATGTATTAATAATTTTATAAGTATTGATAAGTTATTTATTGAGGCAGATAATCATAAAGAAATTTATAATACATATTATAAATTTAAACTGCATTTATTATTTAGAAATATACATAGATTTTAAAATTACGAATGACGGGAAATGTATAAAGGAAGTCATTTTGGTTTTAATTATGATAGTAATATTACTATTTTCAGGATATCATATAATAAAATTTCGATAATTTTATTGGAAATTGCATCCAATTGGTTTGAAAAACAATTAGATAATAATAAAAATAAAAATCATTAAATCACCAAAATTCATGTAAAAATTATGCTTTAATCGTGTAGAAAACATATTTTTGTTTTATTACAATTAAACAAGTAACAGGTTGTACAAAATTAATCAATATGATAATAATAAGATAATTTTGGTATATTATGATAAAATTATATTAATTATCTTTAGCTTTAATGCAAAGCTAAAAATACCCAGCACAGGGGGGTCGCGGCACAGTGGTAACGTGCATAGTTGGAAAAAAAATGCTTCGATGTAAATCATTAGATATTGTTTAATTTTAAAAAATTGTTGGATTATTCCAAAAGTTACATGATCTGTTAATTCCTTATTAATTTCCCTGATTAAGATAAAGTATGTCGAATGAAAAAGGGATTATTAAAAAATATTATTTCTCATAAAAAAATGTTGTTGATCCATACACTATTCAATAAGTTATAGCATTATAGAGTTAAAAATTAAAAAAAATAAAATCGAGAATTTTCACAGGAAAATAGCATTTGGTAGCCATTTGCTCCGTGAAAACAAAATAAAGTCCGAAATTTTTTTTTTTNGAGTTAAAAATTAAAAAAATAAAATCGAGAATTTTCACAGGAAAATAGCATTCAGTAGCCATTTTCACCGTGAAGATAAAATATAGTCCAAAATTTTTTTTTTGCATAATAAAGTACATTATATTAGCTTTCATTTAAGATATATATAAAAGTGTCAGACTTTCAATAGTTAAGTTGAAAAAGTTCTACTTTCTACATGCATTTTTTTTATTTCAACCCCCCTCGTATATAGGGAAATGGTCCGATTTAAAAAAGCAGTATGTCGAATGAAAGATGTATATAAATACTACTTTTCATGAAAAAATTGTATTGATCCATACATTTTTCAAAAAGTTATAGCATTATAAAGTAAATAATGTAAAATACAAAATCGAGAATTTTAACACAAAAATAGCATTCGGTAGCCATTTTCATCGTGAAGATAAAATAAAGTCGGAAATTTTTTTTTTTTTTCATATTAAAGTATATTACATAAGTTTTAATTTAAGATATATATAAAAGTGTCAGACCTTCCGGAACACTTTAAAAAATTAAGTTGAAAAAGTTAATTTTTTGTGAAAAAGTTGTCATTTTAAAACCCTCCCTGTGGGCATGTCTAGGGTCAAATTTATAAAAAAAAATATATCAAATGATAGGTAAATCCATTAAGCATCTATAAAATATATATATATATATATTGATTTGTTCATTTTTGAAAAAGTTATGGCAGTTTTAAGTAAAAAAAATTGAAAAAATTTCGAAAATTAGCGATTTTTAAATTTGTAATTTTTTTGGAGGTTTCCCTCATTTACGGGGAACGAGGGAAATTTTTTCAATTTTTGGAGGTAGTGTCTACGACTAGATACGATTTGTGATCTTTTGATGTATCCTTGAAAGAAATCGGTTCGGTGAGAGCTGAGAAAAAGTGTTAACAGACACAAATAAACAAAAAAGAAACACACACACATCATAGTAAAACCAATACCTTCTCAGCTTCGCATCGAAGCTAAAAAAAAAAGAAAAACGTTTCGACAAATTTATTCTATTAGTTATTTGGCTTCGAATTATAAAAAAATTATTTTTTTTCGATTTTATGGTGATTATAATATTATTTTGATAAATTTTAAAATTAAAATGTTATTCGTATAAAAATGTATCTTTACCACTAGTAAGTAATTTCTGTAAATCCCTGTCTAAAATCCTAGCGGGAACTGCTACTTTAAACTCAAGTTATTAAAAAATGACTGTTCTACTTGTGCACTTATCTATTATAAAATAATATTTTTTTTTTTAGAGGAATGTCGATTGTAAGCGAAGAAGATATTAAATTGTTATAACATAATCAAGTGATATCTTTAATATTAATTATCCTACATACAATCAAGTATTTATAATAAAACAAAAATATTATTTCATAAATTTTAATTGCATTAAAAATTAGCTTTTAAATTATATTTTCTCAGAAAGTTGATAATATTAATACTTATTTTATCTTGATGTGTAAAAAAATTAATCATACTAATTGATTAAAATATTGTATGCTATTCTTCGTAATTATTTTGTTTATTGTTATTAAATAATCACGTCAGCCAATTTAATTATTTAAGTGTTTACTACCACAATTTTTTCTTATTATTATTAGTTTTTTTCAAATTAATGTGATTTATTGAAATTTATTTTCTGAAAATATGTTATTTATTAATTATAATATATTGAAGATGAGAAAAAATTAATGTTTTTTGTAAATTGAATTATATAAGCACGTGTAAGATATGTAGATAATTGGTTAAACCCACAATTGTATTCTCAAACATAGTTAAATTCAGACTCATTTATTAAAAAAACAATACTATATAAAAAAAAAATGATCAACTATACGAAAATTTGTGAATTAAATTTATATATGCATTATTACCGTTTAACAAAAAATAAAGCCAGTACACAAGAGTAATTTAAGGTGGGTCATAGAGCGATTGCCCCTCTCTGATCTGGTGCTATTAATATTTTTTAAGCTGATATTTATGAAATATGGCTCTAAAGACTTATATTTTTAGTCATCATTTTGCTTTTTAGCAAAAAAATTTTCTCTAGCATGCTTACCAGAATAAAAAAAAATAAGCCCCCTTAAAATAAGTTATCAATATCATCCCTTGCCGGTGCATGAGGTGTGTGAGATGTACTCCAGCAAATTCAGATGATAAGTAAAAAAAAAAAGATAAATTACAAAAAAAATTAAAAGCCCCAAAAAATTGTTTTGCACAAATTGCCCCGATTTATAGCGATTTATAGTGAAATGAAACACGTTAAACTCATATTAACGTTAATTTATCATTTGAAATTCATAAAGTAGTTTGTATTTTTTTTTTTTTTAATGTAAACCTAAGGTGGACATTTCTTAACATTTTTAAGGAAACAAGAATATCTAAAATAAAGTGTCCTTATAGGTTTATAGGCTAATAGTCTTACATATAAAAACAATCCAAATAAAAATTTTATTTAGTGGCCTATTGAAATTTCTGGGGTAGCTAAGCCCTTAATTCTTAAAAATGTGATGTGTGAAAAAAACCGTGCCTACATAAGGAGCTACCTGTACCAGGACACTACAAGAAGGGCGACCCTGAGATACTTTTGGGATTATAGCACAATTTGCATAACTAATTCTAAGTAACATGAATGATTATTTTTCTTAATTGTTTAGCTCAAAAATAATAAAACTCAAAATTTATAATAAATTTTCTTATCAATAACTAATTAACTTGCATAATCTTAATTTAGATGTAATATTTAGTAACAATAAAAAGTTTATCTATTTAATTATTTGGTACTCATCTAGTTAAATCGCTTTTCAATTTATTATTTATACAGCTACGTTAATTTTGGTCTACTGATTTACAAATAGAAAAAATACCTTTTTTCTTAATAGTTGTTTATATTAAATTGTTTATTTATATTTATTAAGCTGAATAAACTTATTTTCTGTTAACAAAAATATATATTTATTTTAGTAATTTTACAGTAATAAAAAAATACTTATTAATTATCAGTTGTCCTTACTTTAAGCTGTACGTCAATGTTTCTATGTTTAATATATATATAGATATATAGTTGTTAAAATGCCGAAAAATTTACTATATAACAATATATAGAGTAAAATAGGAGTTCTATGTGAAATATTGTAGACAACGTAAATTTATACATAAACTACCCAACCCATCCAAACCAAACTTATTCCATCGGTATATCAATAAAGTAATCTTCATTTCTCTATAATTATGTGTACATATATTTTATTTTTAGCTACTAATAATTAATAACTTCAATTTATAATAATTATAAATTGAAGTTTTGTTTTATGAATATTTTAAATATGTTTTAATAATTAATTTAATCAGAATTATTTGTATATACTTGTTAACTGGTTGAAAATAAATAAATTTCATGGATACACTAAGTAGTGTATTTTTACTAATCATGTTGATTTCCGCTCTACTATAAAATCACCTACAACTGTAATAAACAACAGATAAAATAAAAATATTATTTATTGTGCTTCAATACTTTGTGAATACTTTAAAATAATGGCAAATTTCATAAAAAAGTATTGCGGAACTTTGAAAAAGAAGATTGGCTGCATAAAAAAGAAGAAAAGTAACTATGCATACTTGAACATGTTACGCCGATATTTAGGGGCTATTTTTGATAAATTGATAATCTTTCATGACTAATTTCTACAAAAAATAATAGACTTAATTTTATTTGACAATACTTTGTTTAGCCATCCTGTTAGATCGCGAATGTCAAACCAGCACTCAAACTCAAATGGACGTACCATCACTTGATGCGACTGCAAATTATAATAAACCCATTGCTATATCAAGTGATAATTAAAATTTATTTTTTTTTTAATATTTATAATTTTACTGGATTATTAACAAAATTATCAAAACTTATTTATAATTTTATTTATATAAATCATATTTAAATAATTGTTATTAACATTATTTTATTTTATGTACGTTATTACTCAAATTAAATAAACTAGAGGGACTCACCCAGACTAATCCAGTCATTGAATTAAACGTGTCAGGAACCCAAGTTGTAATTGTTGTTCGTACAGAAACTGCGGCACAAAGCTTTGTATCATATTCTGAGCAATGTACACAGGTCGGTTCCGTTACTGGGATGATTGAGTCGGTTACGCAAACTGTTGAAACTACTTTAGATGTCAAACATATAGAGACAGGTTCACAGTGCTCTGTATCATATTCCGAACAATATACACAGGTCGATTGCGTTGCTAAAATGATTGAGTCGGTTACGCAAACTGTTGAAACTACTTTAGATGTCAAACATATAGAGACAGGTTCACAGTGCTCTGTATCATATTCCGAACAATATACACAGGTCGATTGCGTTGCTAAAATGATTGAGTCGGTTACGCAAACTGTTGAAACTACTTTAGATGTCAAACATATAGAGACAGGTTCACAGTGCTCTGTATCATATTCCGAACAATATACACAGGTCGATTGCGTTGCTAAAATGATTGAGTCGGTTACGCAAACTGTTGAAACTACTTTAGATGTCAAACATATAGAGACAGGTTCACAGTGCTCTGTATCATATTCCGAACAATATACACAGGTCGATTGCGTTGCTAAAATGATTGAGTCGGTTACGCAAACTGTTGAAACTACTTTAGATGTCAAACATATAGAGACAGGTTCACAGTGCTCTGTATCATATTCCGAACAATATACACAGGTCGATTGCGTTGCTAAAATGATTGAGTCGGTTACGCAAACTGTTGAAACTACTTTAGATGTCAAACATATAGAGACAGGTTCACAGTGCTCTGTATCATATTCCGAACAATATACACAGGTCGATTGCGTTGCTAAAATGATTGAGTCGGTTACGCAAACTGTTGAAACTACTTTAGATGTCAAACATATAGAGACAGGTTCACAGTGCTCTGTATCATATTCCGAACAATATACACAGGTCGATTGCGTTGCTAAAATGATTGAGTCGGTTACGCAAACTGTTGAAACTACTTTAGATGTCAAACATATAGAGACAGGTTCACAGTGCTCTGTATCATATTCCGAACAATATACACAGGTCGATTGCGTTGCTAAAATGATTGAGTCGGTTACGCAAACTGTTGAAACTACTTTAGATGTCAAACATATAGAGACAGGTTCACAGTGCTCTGTATCATATTCCGAACAATGTACACAGGTCGATTGCGTTGCTAAAGTGATTGAGACGGTTACGCAAACTATTGAATCATCTTTAGATGTCAAACATATAGAGACAGGTTCACAGTGCTCTGTATCATATTCCGAACAATGTACACAGGTCGATTGCGCTGCTAAAGTGATTGAGATGGTTACGCAAACTATTGAATCATCTTTAGATGTCAAACATATAGAGGCTGGTTCACAGTGCTCTGTATCAACTTGCGAACTTAGTACGCAAACCAACTCCGTTACCAAGGAAATAAAAGGTATTACTACAATTTGTTATACTAAATATTGCTATAACGCCATAAAAAATCTTGATTCTTTATGATATAGCAATGCTATACTTAAATAGCTTTAAGCTCTAACCAATATTGAACTGCTGATAGAGTTTATTTGTTCATTCGAGTACTTTTTGTCTTTTTTTTGTTGAACTAAAAAACTGTCAATAATTATTTATAGTTCAAAAATGTTGTACATATTTTTCTAATTTGATCATGTAAGCTGATTGGAAATGTTCATAATTTGTAAAAATATGCCATCAATATTAATGTCCGAGGCATTACTAACGCCTAGTTTATCATTTTAATAATGTAATTTATTATTTTTCAAAAAATATTAATTTAAGTTTGCTAATGAATAATAAAAGAAAATAGAATTAGTTTGTTTATAAATCGAATTAGAATATACAACGTGATCGATTAAGGATAAGACCACGCATTTTCTTGAAAACTATTGAGTATTTTTAATTTATTATTGTAGAGTTTATTGAATCAAACAATATTTCCTTTACAAAAATTGAAAATATTTATTTATTAATATTTATTAATGAAAATATTTATTCCTATTATGAATTTCACACTTATTTCGAATCGATATTTTTTGTTAAAATGTTAAATAGATTGAATTGTTTTTTCTAATTAATTTTTTACTAATCAGTTTAATACTGACCTCTATAACTCGTAGTAAACTTTCTTTAATGAAGTGTTAGAATACAATAATTTTATTTCAGAATTTTCTATAACATACGGAATTTTCAATTCGAATTTTGAATACAAAAGCGAAAAGATATTTGTAAATGCTTTTTATTTAATTTAATAAAAGTATTTATTTTACTTTTCGCTATTGTAATGTAAATTTGATTAATATGTAATTTACATACTCTTGTGGAAGTACAGAACAGGCGTAGAAATTGGCGAATATATTACACTCCGACATTGCAAAACTGAGCCAACCGAATGACGCTCCGCCCCTCACAAAAAATACAAACATAATCTTACTCCTTTACTTATTATGTTTTCTTACTCAAATTTTCCCTAATTATGACTAATAATTAATGGCCTTAGTTCTCTCTGAGATATTTACAACTTTAATATTTACAAAATTAATATGTAAAATAAACAATTTTAGAAGTTAGTTTATACCTATTCTATGTTGTGCGTATTTTTTATGTGGATTGGTCGAAATAATCACTGGAAATGCGAGCCATAGTATACAAATTCGTTCAGATAGCCTTTTAAAGACAATATTTACAGTTAAAATTGTACAGTCCATATCTAATTATATTTTATTTGTGATAAGAAAACTTTTTTTTGAATATCACTTCCATGTCAAAGTTTATACACTTTTTATCATCATGTATAATGAAATAGCGCCTCAGTATCTACTAAATTAAAAATATTATTACATTTATATTTAACCATAGGTTCAAAGTAATGCAAAGCCTTTTCAAAATTTTAGAAAAATTACATGTATAATTATATTTATAATATGAAGGGAGGAGAGATTACATATAATAAGCCTTTCCGATAATTTTATTGAAATTGCGCCTATGTATTTAATGTCATTTTATAAAATACTTGTGCTAGAGAGGACGGACCAGGCCCCTTAAGTGAAACGTGGGATGGTATTACTTTTCCACTCGTTAATATTCAATCATTTTAGTAGGAAATTTTTCAATGTATGAGAATATTAGAAAAAAAGTATTTAAAAAAAGATTTTACAAATTTAAAAAAATTGTTCGATTGTCAAAAATAATTGTTTCGCTACCCCTTTCCTATATTTTTTTCAAAATAGCCCTATTGCAGGACCGTGGTTCTGTTTGGCAAACTAGGCAACTACCTAGGAATCCATCTTAGTCTATATTAGCTAACGCTTGTAATCTAATAATTTTATGTTTAATGAAATATATAAAAAGGGTCTCTATTTTGGCAACTGACGAATTAAATTTCATGGTAATATTCAACTGGCTATATTGATTAACTTCATAAACTTAGAATAATTTTGGTTAAATTGTTGGGAAAAACGCAATATTAAAATAATAATCAAATGTTCTAAAGGCACGAATGTAAAATCGAAAGTAGTTATATTATTTTGATAAAATTTATTACAATTAGTGACAACTTATTATTTTTTATTACTCATTAAAAATTTGATCTACTTATCAGTAATAAGTAAGAACTCAAATTCGAATTACCAAACTATAAAAAAGTAACCATTTTATACTGTGTAGATACTTAAAAAAAGAGTTATATAAATGAAGCCTTATTTTTCGTCGGGGAAAAACTTCTCTAGAATTGGCGGCTGCGCGACTGTGAACATATGATTATTAATGGGAACAAATGGCGCCAGATTAATAATAATAATATTATTATGTTGTTATTATTATTATCATCATCATAAGAGAGAGAGTTACGGTCTACCAGACGGCTATGTTACACGCACGTGTATTTTGGAGCTCATAGACCGTCGAGACAGTGGAAGTATACTCATCGGGCAATTATGGGAGTGTTACGCGAACAGTGCGCATGCGCCACGCTGTTCATTCTTTGGTTGGGGGATCTAAGAATGGGAAAAATGCCCCGTCCCTCTGCTTACGCACTATTTACGCACCGCACGCATCCAAACACAACCCTGGGCGCTCATGCCGCATCACTGATGAAAACGTGTAGACATAGCTGATTTGTGTACGGTTTCCATAATACACGGTGCACCATAAAAATAATAATAGTGTTAATAATTTTATCATGTTTTGAACTTTTTTCCCTAAAAGTATCGACGGTGTGTACGTTCAAAGATTTTTAATTTATTCTAGTTGAGTTGCAACATTGTTCCTTTTTTTTTACAAGTTTTTCATTAGTTTTTTTTTAGTATTACACATACTCGTCGCTTTCTAAACGAGAACAGTTTAGTTTACGAATGCATCCAAAACTGCAGTTGCACGTTCAATGTGTTTTTAAATTTGGCGCGTGCGTGTAATCGGACATATTTATTTCATTACTCTATTTTAATTTACATATAGTTTATTTTTAAATTAAATATTATAATTTAAGTATAACTTTATATTAATTATATCAAGTTTTGATTTATAAAAAAAATTAACCCCAGAAACACTTAGTACAAAATGAGTAAATCTCAGACTGAAAATGAAACTTCAAACGGAGGTGAGTCATCAAATAATATTTACAATTATGTTTTGTACGTAGGAGGATAAATTAATTTTTTTAATTGTATGATAAACCAACTTTCCTACATTTCTTTCGATAAAGTTGAGTATAAATGAAGAATTCATGAGAAATTAAATTTTTTGTTTTGAAAATATTAATTTTTGAGCTTTAATTTCAAAAGTCCCATTTTCAGTTAACATTTCGAATGTTTATTTTATTTAATTACAAACCTTGGCAGTTTTTTTATTTTGCCACTCCCATCTAGATTCTCGTAGTCAACTATAATTGCTGCGACACAGCAGTTGCATGAAAGACTATTTTTAGGTATTTTGTTGATTTTTTCTATGTTCAAAGTGTAAGTAAGATGAAAATTATTTTAATACGATCCACGCCTACTTCATGCTTTGTTATCTTATCGTATGAATGAAAAAACAATTGAATCCTATATTATCACCAAACAAAATAATTTATTGTTATGATATACTATCATACATGATTAGTGATCATGTACATAGTACGCATGTATGTATGATTTACGTTTTGAAAAAAAAATATAAAAGTAAATATTTACTTAATAATATTTTTCTCGATTAATATAATTACTGTCAAATAAAAGCGTAATTTTTAAAATGGATTATGCCAGTATTAAATTAACACAAAAGCAATATTAATTTTTGAATTGATATATAAATATAAATATTGTATTATTACGTAAGACTTTTAAGCACAGTTCAAATAATTTTTTTATATTAATAGCGCCTTGTAGATCAATCAATTCTGATTTTTTGCATAAAAGTATGTAATGTTCTGGAAGTGAATAGGTCAATTATAAAAAACATATATATACAGTTTTAGAATTTTATGTAAAGAAGTTGTTACAATTATTCTTCACGTTTCACGTGTGAAAATAGTTTCATACTCCAACATTTATAATGTATATCGTTTTAGTAATTAAATTGAACTATATATATTTATTAGTTATTAATATACGTATTCCACAGTTGGATACTTAAAATAGATTATTGTGGTGTTATTTTAGATAAATTAATGATACGATTTAAATTAAATAGATAAAGAAAATATTTGCTTTCTTATTCATGAATCAAAATTCCTGCTTTAAAAGAGGGGAGGGAGCAATAATTATCATAACTCCGCCTCCTCTAGACACGTGGAATTGCATCGGGCATTATAAAATACCTTGTTCATACAATTTTCTCTTCCTTTTGTATTGATCTATTTAATTTTATGCTTTTATACATAGATTTATTAATATTGAATTGGTTATATTTATAATGAGGAAATAAACTTGAAACTTTTGAATCATCCATGTACTAATTCTATAAAATCAAAATTATATAAGAAATGATTTAAATTGAAAGTATTTATATTAAATACTTTTTAAATTTCATTGTAATTATTTCGTTGTATATAATGTTATACCAAAAAAATATATATTATTATCAACAACCCTACTTATTTTCTTTACTATGTGACTAGCAATTCTAAATTACTCAATTATTTATATGTTTTTATTTATAGTGCTAAAACTAGTTTTGTAAACCTAGTGATACTAATAAGTTTTTAACTTTTCCTTATGGTTTTATATTAATGTTAAAAAATTGAACTGCACCATTTCAGTTAACTTTTTTAGAACGATGTATCTTAGAAAATGTCTTAGAATTCTCTGAACACAGCGTAACTTGCATTCACATTCGTATAAAACCGTTTACACTGCAGCTGGTGTTTATAGAAATGGATGGTTCCTTATTTAGGGTTTATTTCATCGAAGTCCTAGGGTAGAAATCTCAGCATTGAGCAGGTAAACAGCCCAGAGAAATGCAGATGCTTTACAATGCAATCTTGTGCCACGTTGCCAAAATCACGATAATTTTATACATTTCAACCCCCGTAAACGAGCTACAAACTCAAGTCCGATACATTTTACAAAAATTACAATACCAAAAATTCCAATTTATTATATTTTTTCTTCTTTTGCCAAATTATGTTTTAATTTGTTAATATACAGTTGTTTGATAAACATAGGCCATCCGTTAAACTATTTCATAATATAATGTAATTAACTAAAAATCACACGTTATTCAATTAATTTTTTTCTTTGTTTAAATGTTAGTAAAAAAATCGTTCCTTAAAGTTTTTATTATTTAATATCGAAATTCAATAAGATACTTTAGGGTTGCTATTAACTCTTACGGAAAATATACTGAAATTATTTAACATGAAAAAAATTAGAAAATGAAGGTTATGACCTTGAGCGATGGTGTTGATGTAAACATATTGCAAATGTAATTTACCGTATATGTAATTTCATCAAACTTTTTTTTCTTTGCTGTCCTGTTGTAACATCATACTGATATGACAAATTTTTAAAAACTACAGATGAGATTGATCTACTTAAAAAAAAAAAATTCGCTACCCAAATGGCACCCCTATTACGTTTTTCTATGTATATGCTTAGCCATATTGTTCGAAAAACCGGATATTTTTACATTAGCGTAAACATGGTTTACTGCCAGCGATAGTGCCAAGTAATTCCGTCATTCATCTCATCATCTTTAATTATTCATCATATTCAATAGTATATCATCTATTGAATATGATGATTTAGATGCCTCCTGTATTATCAATAACGCAAGATTACCAATGTTCTCAATTCATAAATTTTTGATGATTATTTAATTAAAAGAGATTAAATAATTTTTTAAGTTTAAAATTAAGCATTTCATAATGCTTGATATGACCTTTCAAATACTTAAGACCATAATTGAAAAATTATCAAATCATACTTAATTATGTATCATTACTCCAAATACCGCCTTGTTACTATTTCCTAGCATGTGTGTTAATGTATTAGTAGGGATGGCGCTTGGAGATTGTCAACACGCATATTATAACCAGCATTAGTGGATGAATGTTAAACAAAATATATTTTCGATTATACTTTATCTCAAAATTTGACAATTGAGATATCTGTCAATAACGATAATAGAAGTTCAGTTTTTTTAGATAGTTTTGATCATGTCCAACTCTATTTTTATAATCTATAATTTATCTTTTCTAATATGAGTGATTTTGTTTTTGGAAAATTTTAAATAAACAAAATAATCTCAATTAATTTCATGTATAAAATAATTGTGTCTATAATTATTGCTGCCAAGGACATACATACATTTTTTTAAAATACACTTCAGGAAAAAAAAATTAAAAGTTACATTGTAATGTTATTATTTTAAAATTTTAAAACATAATATATACACAATATTATTTAAAAGAACCAGTTTTTGGAGGATTGTATATTTTCCAGTGGGACATGCCTCTTTTGCCTCCCTAATGAACCCATGTGTATGTTGCATATGTTTTATAATACAAATACACTGTTTTAACCATTGAATTGATATAATTGTAATTTTACATCCGTTTCGTGCATATTTATAAAAATAACCTCAAATTTGACTTACAATAATACAACACCATAAAAAAAGAATAGATAGACCATTTGTGATTTACACACGATCAATATTATAACAGGTTTTAATTTCTCAAAAAGAAAACCGTTTAATCAATAATCCTTATTATCTTTAACATTTTACTTTATAATTATACATAAACAAAAATGAATTTTAGTTTGTTTAGAGAATGATAAGTTAGCAAATTCTATCAAAGACGATTTAAAAATTAATTCAGATAAAAATGATGTTGACACCCAAACATCAAGTGACGGTGAAAATCCAGGACCAACCACAGGTAAATTATCAGAAGGTGTCCGCAGAGGTATTTGTAAATGGTTTAATTCCAAAAAAGGTTTTGGTTTTGTCACTCCTGACGACGGCGGTAAAGATGTTTTTGTACATCAAGTAGGAAAATTGTATGTTGTTATTGAATAAATTCACTGTACTTATGTAAGAATTATTATTTTTTAGCGAGTAATTAAAAAGGAAGGATTCAGATCCCTCAGAGAAAATGAGCACGTGGAATTTACTTGTCATGAATCAGATAAAGGTCTAGAAGCTACTCGAGTCACTGGTCCTGGTGGTAGACACTGTAAAGGGTCAAAAAAAGCATATCCTCCTAAAAGACTGAGGTAGTATTCTTTTATGTAAAAGTATATTTCATCTAGTAATTAATAAAAATTTCTTGTTATTTCAACTAGATGTTATAACTGTGGAGACTTTGCTAATCATATAGCCGCTAAATGTACAGAAGGTCCAATGCCTAAACGTTGTCATAACTGTAAATCAACCGAACATTTAATAGCTGATTGTCCTTACGCACAGACAAAAAATACTGGAAATAAGACAAATAAAATTTCTCAAAAAAAATCAGACCGACAAAAACAAAAATCAAAGTCTAAGTCAGAAGATAGTAATCCTGACAGTGAGCTTCCAGATGATTCATCTAAACTTAACGGAGATGAAAATAATGACAAACAAGAAAGCTCCATTTGAGTATTACAAATAATAACATAAAATAATAATTAACTTTAAATACATGGAGATTAATATTTTTTTTTATTAATGGAGTTTTACAATATACCTTAGAAAAGACTTTATATACCATTTTGTAAACTATTTTTTTCTAATTTTAATGTTGACAACAATTATTCATCAAATAAAATAATTTATTTGTATAAATTTTTATATTAGTTTAACAGATTTTATTGCACAAAATCAATTTTACCGAAATGATCTTCTTTTAATTGGTTTTAAAATTAATATTTTATCATTTGGTTTTTCTACAATGTTTACTTCGTTTCGGCAGCAGCATCCATAAAATGCACAAGCAAATATACAGCAAGCACTTAGTCCCATGATAATCTTTACCTGAGAATGCATTTCTTTTAAAATGAAATCTTCATCTTTATCTATAATTAAAAGTTAAATGATATTTACTGTTTTTTAAGTTATGATTTATTATTAGTCTAAAATTACTATTGGTACAATTTTGGTGTAGAAGGTAAACAACCTACCCAAAATTTATCACTTGATAATGAAAATTAATGATAATCAAGGTACTTGTGATGACCATCATTATAACCAAACTTGATTCAGCTCAAGTGACCAAAACAACACCTAAACTCTAATTAGAATTTTGTTGTTTATTATATAGGTAATGTATTATGGGATATGACTTATACCTTCTATGATCTTTAGTGGTTTTTATTATTTATAATGTTACTACACCAGGTTCATTAAAAATTAAGGAAGCAATTGAACTTGACTACCATACAGATTTTAATATCTTAAGATTTTTCGATAGCAGGGGTTATTAATAAAAAAATGTGTACAACCCCTCAAATTGAAAATAATATATATCTTTAACACATAATTTATTTTTAATTAAGGAGTTGATCCTTATTTATTTATGTATTTTTTGGTTCATTGACATTAAATGTAATAAAAAAATTTACTAGGAGGTGGCTCTGTTATTATTGCTTGATGTAACCATTTTTTCAGATCAGTTTTATTCAAAACACATTGCCCAACATTTTCATTCCAATAATAAAATCTATACAAATAAAATTTTTATTAAAAATATGATCTATGTAAATTATTGGTTTTTAGTGGCGTAATTAGTGGTTTGTTCTGAAAAGATATACATAAAAATATTGTTCACTTCCTCTCTAAACAAAAAAAAATTGCATCTTCACCATATAATTATTTTTGTTATTGGTCAGATATGACTCCCATATATTCCCCCATGTTTTCCCACTGTTGGTTTTTAGCTGGATATTCTTTTATAACCTGCTTGTTAAAACAAATCGATGAGTTATTCAAATATCACTAAGATTGCTATTGTTAGGGATAGTTATAAGCTTTTACGGGTAGATTAGACAAATCTTCTCACTCTTGGTTGATGAAAAAAATATCTCAATATATTAAAAATTAATACAATGAATAAAAGCATAAGTGATTTTAAATGCTGTCATAAAAATATAGCTTTTATTGGTTGTAATTTTTAAAAATTATAAACTATAATACCCTAGAACTGTAGAAGTGCAGCTTGATTAGTGGCAATTATAGATGATATTTGACAGTGATTAAAATCACAGTCATAAAAATAGTAATCTAAGTATTTTATTGCATTACTTATGTGGATAATATCTTTATGCCGTGTTATCTAAATACGCCACTAAATAATTAATATTTACTAAAAATAAAATTGCAATATTTTACTTGGAACATTGACATATTTTAGAAGAATTTACGGTACAATACATTTCTACACTTTGGCAATCGTCATTTTGGGTACATGGCATATTGTATAAAGTTGTATTTCGATATTTCAAGGAAGAACCTAAAAAAATGTCATGTATTTGATTACAAACTATAAGTAAAAATTAATATTTATGCAAACAATAAAATTAAGTTTTATAAGATCATAAAGAAAAATAAAAAGTAATTTTCTGACTTATTTAGATTATAAGAATCTAGTATAGTATTTAAGTAGGGTCAGCGGAAGAGCAAATGCACTTTTGTACTTCTCCAGGTGCCGCACTTATTAAAAGAACTTAAATTAAAAATAAAAAAATGTCTTTTTTTACTGAAAAAATAATTTAAAGAGAATCATAATATCTAGCGCGAGCTTTTATTAAAATACAAATTTAAAGACAAATAATCGTGTTTAATCACTTCCATGAAAATGGATCAATGATATTTATATTGACACAACAAAGTCAATATTTCAAGGGTACTAAAAAATTATGTGCTTTAAGATTCAATTTAATAAATTACAAAAAAAGCTTATTATAATTCGACATAGGCCATCTTGAAAATTGTTGAATAAAAGTCTTTAAGCGGGCGTCTATATACTTATTTTTGCGCATCAAAACATATCTTAGGAGAGTACAAATCCTGGAAGGCTAGTTGGTTGTAGAGAGATAATCTATACATCAAATTAAAGTTGATAACATTTTTACAACTATACATGAGCGATTTTTTATATAAAAATTTTAAATAATGTTATAGGCTTTTTAAAAAATATAAAAGTATTATTTTTCAAATACATATATCTTTTGTATAGGTTTTTCAAAAATTACCTATCTAAAGATTTAAATAATGTGGGGTCACAGCTTTAATTTGATGTATTGATCATCTTATTAAGACCAACCAGCCTTTCAGAATGTTTATTGTCCCGAGACATGTTTTCAAATTTTTCAATTATTTACGTCTCCTTGTGGTATAACCTATAGAAGCCGTTTAAAAGTCTATTGCTACGTTATAGCTATAAAATAGAACATTTTAGCATCCAATATTTTTAATTTCTGGTAATTCTAAAATTTGGATAGATTTTACTTGAACTCCTTTTTAAAAATCAATTTTCGCATGTTTACAGTTGAGTGAATGTTAAGCACTCCCAACTTATATCTATAGTTATATCAAATTAAAAATCGTTACCTTCATTGTTTATTTCTTCTGATTTATTAGAAAAAAACGTTGAAATTAATCGCAACAAGATGCAACATGTTGTAGTAGCGTTCATCTTTAGAGCTATATATCTACTAAATAAAAAGTTTTTGATTACAAAAGACATCATGCGTTATTTTATGTTAATAAATTTGATGAGTTAAAATTATAATGGAAGATTGAAAGATAAACACGCAATAACCCTTAAAATGATGCAAGATAATATTCTAATTTTTCAAAGTTTTTATTGTTCAGGAGAGGTAGGTAATAGGTCATATTTGAACATATACGACAGTACAAGTAGTCTGGCTTAATTAAAGTATATTATCAAATAAAATTATATTTATTTTTAATACACTAATTTTTATAAATTAGAGTGAACAGTGTTAACTTTACACGAAAGCGTAATTTCGTATTTCATTGTCACACAACATTACGCCAAGTGAGGTCTCATTAACATTATGCTTTGGTAATCTAAAAATATTTCACCAGGGTACAAAAAATAATAATAATTTAATTCAAAAAAATGTATTTAAAACTGTCAGGTGTTATAAAACACCATAGACTGAAATAAAGGAAGCGATTTGGGTTACTCAGCATCTCATAAGATGTCATTATTAACCCCTACAAGTTTTTCGAATTTTCTAAAGTATAAAAACTACTAGTTTTTACGAAATCTTGTTTTGTAATATGAGTGTGTATATTATCATCGGTGTATAATTTTTTTTACTTTAAACATAGTAACATGTTTTTTGTTTTTAATTTCCTAATGTTCAAAAAATGAATATTTTAAATTAAATAAACTTATTTACTCCCTTTTCAGTTCACTATTATTCACAATTTTAGTAAATTATCGGATTAAGAACATAAAAATATAATAATAAATATGTATTTTTACACAAATATACTTTAGAATTTGATAAATAATAACATAATTGTTTTACAATCACATATTGAATAACCATGATAATATAATTTATCCACTTACTAAAAATATATGGATTATCAAATATTTAACATTAAAACAATTTTTAAATCTATCGATGGATATAACAAATAATTTACAACATATTTTCAAATGATTAAAAATTATCTTGAATACCACATTTGAGATTTGCTGGAACACTAACATCTGAAAATATAAATGATTTATTAGAAAAATTTAAATGTATTATTATAATTAAAAAATAATAAGTAATATTCAATATATAAAATATTTATCACAAACAAAATGTTTTTTTACCAATTTTTTTAGGGTATGCTAAATTTAAATTATTCATAATTTCAATAAATTTTTCACAAGTTTTTGTTAAACGAGGGTTATTCATCTTTTCTTCCCCAACAGTAGAAACAGTTTGTCCTGTAAACATTTTGGGCACAAATAATGTAATTTAAATATTTGAAAAATTATCATGGCTATCTTTCAAAGCATAACTAGTACATATTGTATGTATATCACTGTGGTTCCATAAATTATCACTACGATACACATTCTAAGATATGTTATTTCTCTTGCATAGATAACTATATCTCATTTTTTACCTGTGTAATCATGAGCTGGATATATTTTGTAATAATTTGGTAATGAATAAATTTCTTGATAAACTGAATTATAAAGAGTTCTAGGATTCCCTTCTTGAAAATCTGTTCTTCCACAGCCACCAATTAACAGACAATCACCAGTAAACATCATGCCTTCACTATGGCATACGTATGTTACACATCCTAAAAAATTATATCCTTACAATTATTCAGTAGAGAATTGATTAATTTAATATTTTACCATTAGTATGACCTGGAGTTGATCTAACTTCAATTTCATAACTTCCTAATTTAATTTTATCACCGGAACTTACATAAATATCTGCTTTAGCACCACTCTGTGTTGATATTATACTCTGGCAATTCGGTAACATTTTTTTCAATGAACCAGAGCCAGTAACATGATCAGCATGAACATGAGTGTTAGCTATAGAATTTTTATAATACAAATTATTAAACTTTGATTACATTAATTTTTACCTTAAAGTTTTGATTAAAAAAAATTATATTTTTAAAAGCTTTGCACTAACCACAGTACAAAAGATTTAATTGCAGTCTTTTAATTATTGCATAATCACGGTTAACTTGCTCAAGGACAGGGTCAATAATGATTGCATCTTTATTCTCATTGTCTGCTAATAAGTAGGTGTATGTTGATGATTCTTTGTCAAATAACTAATAAAAATAATTATATGAAATTGAAAGTTATAAATCATATGATTGAGTAAATTATTTAAGTGTTTACCTGTCGAAAAATTAACATTATTTTAAAATTACTTGAGTAATATCTACAGTTAAAAGATTCTTTTTCAATCAAATTATTTCTTAATATGTAATTGATAGAACAATTTAAACGCATTTCGTTTATCAAGATTTTATATTTTAGTTTATCAGAGAACAGATAAGATTTTTAAATATTAGAAAATTAATAAGTGTCAAACAGAAAGAGAGTAGATAGATAAATCATTTATTTTAATATATAAAAGCAATAAGTGGAATGACTAGTTCTTCAAAACTAGTATATACCCTGCAAATTCTTTAGTTTTTGTTTTTCCTTTGGTAAATCAAATTGTTAAGACTGTTTAAGATATTTTTCAAGCTATTTTTATGCTGAAAATCATATAATATAAATTTTTAAATTTTATGTTTAGTTAATCACAGATAAGATAAAGTTTTATCTTATCTTATTTTAAACTTTATCTTATCACGACTGTGGTTTTCTAATGGAATAAATTTTATAATTAAATCGAAATTTTACTTTTCCTTATAGGCATAAATTGGAATTGGGTCTTAGCGTATCTTAAATTTGTAATGAATTTTCAGTGATTATTGAATTAATTATTTTAGAAATTATTAGTAATAATCATGTGCGTAATTAGGAATTAGAGTCCATCCATGAGACCTATTTAATGTCTTGTGAGACCTAGATATGTAATGTTAAGTAAAATAAAAAAGTATTAATTTGTTTTTTTTTCACAAATGTCTGCCTTTATTTGATGGGTAAATAACTTCAAGGATTTGAATTTTGTTTTTGCATTTATACAATGATCGAAGTGGGGGCCTATGGAGGGATAGTGTCACTCTATTTTTTAAAATTTTTTAGCATTACACTTATTTTGCCCATAATATATCCCCCTCAATATTGTACAATATACATAAGGCTTATCAATTTATATGGGGTTTTTAATTATAAATTATAATTTTGTATTGATTGATTTCCCAAAATTGATGTACAATATAGTAGTAGGTTCAATCATTTGTTTAAAGTATCCATAGTATTTTCATTAAATTATGATAATTAAAATTGACCAATATTACTGTATATTGTTTAAAATTCAGTTGAACCAAAATTAATAATAGAGTAAAATAAAAATAGATGACATCCATTCACTTCAACCACTGTGTATACAAAAATAGACAATCTAGCTGCAAATTATTTCATACTATAAGAAATTCAAATTGAAATTTTTTGAATGTTCAGATTTTTTTTACTTTTTAAAGCATGTTTCATATATTTCATAGCTTTTAATATTTTTTACACATTTATTTATTTTTCGATATGAAATTTTATTAAGACAATTATTAATTAATATGTGTGCATACATTTTGCACATTAAGTTCTTTTTTAGAACTTAAAATTCTCTATTTTACTTATTTACTTTTGCTATCACAATTAATTAGACTTATTACTTTGTTCTGCTGGGATATCGTTTATACTGCGAATTTTATTCTTTTCAATATTTTCTACGAAATATAATATAATGATATATTATATAGCTATTTATAAAATTTATCAAGGTTTAGAAACCATGACATCAAGGGGGCTAATTTTAAGCTTAAGGGAACTAAGACCTCACCTAGTTATGCTAATGGTAATAATAAAATTAAAAATAGTTAATAATATTGTTTAATGTTTAATGAATTATTATACTAAAAACAATATAGTATTAGAAGGATTGATAAATAAGTAGTATATTGTGTTTTAATGTCTTATTACATTTTATTAAATTAAAATGGATACATTGTGATACCTTGTGGTATACCAGGATAAGAAGTAAATTGTCAATTAAAAATGATTGATAAATACAAAATATTATTTATTAAAATAATTATTTTTACATAAAAATAAAATTAAAATAACAATTAATTTAGTCACCATAAATAGTTTGATATTTTTAATTATTTCAAAAAAAAAAAAAAACTTCCATTTTAAATAGTTACAAGTTCAAACCATTCTCGAAGTGCATCGCTCAATACACTAGGTAACTTTTCAACATCCCTTAAGATAACGTAAAATGGGAATGGGAAATTATCCATATAAGATTCAATTCGAACAGTATTATTTTCAAATATTGGCATTTTGACATCTAATATAGATTCCTATAAAAAAAAAAAAAAAAAACAAATTAAATATTTACATAAAATAAAATTACAGCTTATTTTATGTAAATATTTTAGATTGTCATCTATTATTAAATCAAACTATCTATAATATATTGAAAACTTTCTTTGAGACTTTTTATCATTTTTTATTAATTACTATCAATAAGTAAAAATGGATTATATTGAAATAGTATTACACTATTTTAAAGATTAATTCGTAAAAACTATGCTTGTGTTTAAGTTAATAGGAAAACCTACATAGCCTAGTGCAACGGAATCGAACCCTGATACTTATGAACCAAGGCTTGACACAATGTTGACCGATTTGTATTAGATAGAAATATTAAATTTTATATTTACTTTTGAAGTTGGGTTGTCAATTACAAGAAATACAATTATGACCCCATTTGTTTTGGCAGATCGAATGGCATTTTTTACAACGTCTGGTCCTTCACTTTTTATACCACGACCATCACTTATAATTACTAACAATTGAGCAGGCTGATCACCACTATCTAATCGACCTCTATCTTTAAATGATGTTGTTGCTATTTCTATCATCTCACCAACTTTAGTTTTCTGTTCATCAAATGTGAAATTATGTACTAGTTTAGCACCTGATTGTTCAGCAAAAGGTTCTCCCAATGGATGAATTATTTTAGCTTGCTCACCAAAACTCATAACTCCCAGTTCCCCAGCTTCAACTAGAGTTAAAGCTTTACTAACTAAAGCTAGAGACTCGAATGCCAACTAAAAAAACAACATATGATTAAATAATTTAAATTACAATTAAAAATAAAACATTAAATGTTTCATAAATTGAATATTTTATGAGATCAAGTAACTTTTTGACATTTTTTTTGTTATTTATAAAAATTCTGAGTAATTTTACAGCTAATCTACTGATATCAACATTATTTACATTTATAGTTTTACCATCAATTTTATACTACTTGAATTTGGTTAGTTACATATATAAATAGGTAAATTTTTTTTTTTCTGAAAAATAACGAAAAGTGACTTAAGCCCTCCTCTAAAATATTTCTAATTATATTTACCACTTTAGCATGACTATCCATCATACTGCTAGAATTATCAACAGCCATTATAATTTGGTACTGTCGTTTGGAAGGTTTGGTTCTTCTAAGCCATATTTTATCTTTTCTAAATTGACTAGCTATGTATGGAATAACTCGTCTCATATTTATTCTACGTCCTGTTCTAAAATCTCCTTGAAGTCTAGATGCTTTACTTGGTTCTAATACTAACCGAAGTTGTTCACTGAGCTCTTGAGCAAGACTAGATGTAGCTTCTATACATTTATCCCATGCTTCATTTTTATCAATTTCTTTATTTTCATTCTAAAAATATTTTCTATGATTATTCAAAACCTACTGAAATAGTTTGTTTATAAAAATATGTTAATTATAGACTACAGATAAAATTAGGTTCTTCCCTTAAACCTCCTTATAAGAGTAATAAATTTATTTTTTTAATGGCAAAATATGTTGTAAACTAGTTTATTTAATAGATAATAATTTAATTAAGAAAATGATTGATTGATAACAACTTTTGGACCAATATTTCGGAAGTTATTAACATTTTATATTGATGGATGGTGGTGAGTCATGGGTCGTTGGAATGTATAAATTAAAAAAATAAAAGATCTTAACAAAATGTCTTGCTGGATAGTTTTGAAAAACAATTTTAATGTTAAATTATTATTTATTGTTTATAATTACAAATTATAATATTGAAATAGAGAATGAAATACTATACCTCTAACCACTTGTTAAACTGTTCTTGTAATAGTTCCTTATGATCATTAACATTCATATCTAATAATTCCTCATCACTTTTTATTTCTCCAGTATAAAACATAGTATTTGTTCCTCTTTCAACTGTATGTGTTAAAATTATATCACCATCAACATCAATTTTTTCGTCATTTAAATTTTCATCATCTAAATTTTCGCTTTCATTTGTAGTAGGTTGATTACTGTGTTTATTTGTTTTAATTTTTTCGGATACTAAATCTTCTCCTAGTTTTAGCTCCTCTTCATCAATATTTTCTTCCATTTCAATATCATCATCTTTTAATTCTTCACTCGACTCATCTTCATTATTAGGTAATGGTCGATTCTCAAGTTGCTCCTATAATGGTAAAAATAATGTCATTTGAATGAATAGTAAAAATATATGTAAAAATACAAACATTTAAAGCAGCATCTAAAGTTTCTGTATCGGATTTTTTAGATTCTTTAACATGTTTAAATAAATCTCCTTTTTCATTATTATCTTCATTTTCATTAATACCACTATCCTCTTCATTGTCTTCTTCTTGAGCACCTGTAGTTTTAAGCCTTTTTTTCATAGGTCCAATACTTTCAGCTACAAATAATGTCACATTATTAGAATAAATGTTTAAAAATAATATAAAACTTACATAAGGTTCTATCAGTATCCTTTTGTCCAGGTCTCATTCTTCGTTTTTTTTCTTTTATACCAGATTCTTCACTTTGTGCACCTTTATCTTGATCTGTGCTATGTCCCTGTTGTGTTTCTTTACTTTCTCTTTGAGATCTACCAACACCTTGCTGTTCAGGACCAGTTGCTTCTTCTTTGTTTTCTTCTACATTATCTTGATCTTCTTTACCATCTGAATTTTTACAAATTTGATCTTTAGAACCACCATTATCAATGTTTGAAGGTTGGACTTCAATTTTACTAGATTCATCTTCTGATGGTTTTATATTTTCTTGTTGTTCAATTTTTTCATTTTCTTCTCTAGGTTCTTCACCGGTTTTTTTTTCGTCTTTCTTTCCTCCATCATCATTTATATTGTCTTCTTCATTTTCTTGGATATTTTCATCATTTTCATCATTTTCATCACCTTTATCATCCTCAATTTTATTGCCATTTTCTTCTTCATCGCTTGTATCTTCTAGATCATTTTTATCTTTTTTTGGCTCTTCATTAATTTCATCTTTATTTTCTACATTTTCCATATTTTCTTTCATAGTGTCAATGTCAAAAGGATTCTCTTCACCTTCATCATTTTCATTCATTTCACCCTCATCTAACTGTAAATCATTAGGCAAGTCCATTGGTTCTGGTTCTGGTGGAGGAGGCAAATCTCCATGATGAGGATCGGAATGATCTTCTCCAGCATCTTCACCATTTTCATTTATTTCATTAATATCATTTTTATTATTTTTCTGGTTCATTTCTCCAGTTTCATCTTGTTCTTCTCCATTTTCATTATCATTTTTAGCACCTAATTGCTTGTCACCAAAATCATCTCCTCCTTTCCCATCATCTTCTTTTAGATTTTCATCTTCTTGATCTTCACCGTTTTCATCTTCAGAATCACTACCCCATAATTTTTCATCTAAAGTATCTGCACCTTCACCAGTTTCTCCCATTTCTTTATCTTGGTCATCATTGTCATTTTCTTCGTCATGATCACTATTTTCAACTTCTTTTTCTAAATCATGTAATTTACCATCAAAATCATCTGACATTTCTACACCTTTTTCTTCTTCCTAAAGTGAAAATGCTAAAAATTAGTAAAAAATTTTTTTTTGAAATTTTATGTCAGGTCTCTAGTTAGACCCATAGTACTTTTAAATACGGTCAGTCTTTTAAAGTAAAATTTTGATTTGACATTAAATTTCTAGTATTCAGTGGATAAATAAATATTAATGAAAATTTCAAGAAATACTGCAGATTTTTAAATATAATACTTAAGAATGGGTAAATAATTTTTTAAATTTTAAAACAAAACTTAGATGAAAAAATATCTCATACTAATTTTTGACACGATACCATGTTTCCCTCAACTGCCCATTACGTTATCAACCTAAATGAAAGTGTATCGGGATCTGAATCATAAGTGCACAGTGGCCTAGTGGTAAGGTTTGTCTCTACAACACCTTGGGTTGACGGTTTTAATCCCGTATCGCTTCTCTTTTTTTCACAAAATTTTCGGTACACTTTCTATAACCAGCTGTCAATCCCTGTTGGCCGTGCACTTATGATTGATATCCCGATACACTTTCATTTAGGTTGATAATGTGATGGCTAAGGGAAAAACAGTATCGTGTCATTTTTAAAAATTTACTGGGATTTTATAATAAGTATAAATGCCTTATGTCTAACATCTTAAAGAGATACAATAAATTAACTCTACTACTATTGATACTATTTTATACTATCATAATATTGTAAGAATAGTTTTGTGGTGCTAAGGTAAAGGGAAACTAAATGTGAAACTTAGGTTAAAAAAAATTATAAGTTTTTAAAGGTTTAATAATAATGTTGGGTTGTTCATTTTGTAGTATTATTTGTCTATAAAATAGTTGCTCCAGTCATTATCAATTTTGTAAAATTAAATTTTCAATGTACTTTATTAAAAAAAAAGTTTTATTTTTTAATTCATGAGCAGTTTGTTTCTTAGATTTAAGATTCTTAACTGAGCACCACATAATTATTACTTTAGGTTATCTTAACCTTAAGATCTTTCTGTGATTCAGGTTCATCATCGTAATTTTTTTTTGCATCTTCTAATTGATCTTGACTCTCTATTTGATCTGATACATCTTTTTTACCTTCCCCTTCGGTAAGACCCATACCACTTTTACCATCAGTTGATTCACATTCTTCTCCCTCTAAAAACTCATCTGGTACACAAAATCCCTAAAATAAAGGTCTTGAAAATATAAACTAACCAAAATTATATTTATATTAATTAATCCATACATTAGTAGCAAGATCAGTAAATAATGCAGAGAGAGTGTAACTCATTTTTGATAGGACTCTGTATGACATAGTTTGTTGAGTAATAAAAAATTGAACAAGTAAGGCATATTGTTCAAACAATGGTTGACAAGACCGTAAAATATTATCTCCAACAGATAATTTTAATACATTTTTTAATTGTTTGTTGATAAGATTTAAGTCACAAATTTCCAAATCAACAGATAAAGATTGAATAATTTGACATTTTAGTAACTTTTCATCATCATTATTTAATTGGGTATCATTATACTTTTTATATAGTTTTTCGACAGACTTGAGGACTAAATTAATTAATTGGCTAATTGCATCTAAAGATGTAGATGTATGTTCAGATGGAATGCTGGCATCAGTAGTAAACAATTCATGTTCAGCCCTAATTTTAGGAAATTGTTTTTCTACCATTAAAATTTCTCTGTAAAAATTGTTTATATATTGAGATATTAATTCACAAATAGAAACAGCATCTGCATAATCATTCTTTGTTATAAAATGTAATTTAGATAATTTCATAGCATTAACAGATTTTTCTTTAGTCATTAATGTCAAGTAATTTTGAGATCTGTTAATAATATCGTTAAGATTTGAAATAACATCATTAGTTATCTTAGGACTATCTATAAAACTACTATTTTTGTCTTCGGATGATTTAGATGATAGTAGATTAAATAATATTTCATCTGAATTGATTGATTGATCATAACATTGAATGTAAACTTTTAACTGTTGCAGAACATTAATACTATTAATAATATAATTTATTGGACACTGTAAAAAAAAAAAAAAAATTAAATCAATGCACAGTTAAAAGTATTATTATGGAATGTAAAGAATTTTTAACAATAATAATTACATTAATATATAATAATATTTATTGGGTACATTAATTTCAAATAATTTAGCTCACTTTTATATTTTCTGATGGATTAAAAACTATACTGTCAGATTGAGTGATGATGTCAGATAAATATAACATGCTTCGATATTGAACAAGTAGATCTACATGATAAGCTAATACTTTTTTAGATTTCCATGTCATTTTCTAAAATATATTTAGTTATTTTTTAAGCTATTAAATCAAATATTATAAATATAATTTAAATTTAAGATAAATGTTATAATTTACCACTAGATCATTAAGGAAACCCTTAATACGATCCATATCTTGTTGACCTAATTTAGGCTTTTCAGATGCTATTTTAAGAGCTGTAGTTTGTGATACTGATTTAATAAAATATGTTTCACTTTCTAACCAAGCACAACGAATATCATTATCTGCTGGTCTAGAAATAGTGGGAAATATGTAAATTATTTATTATAAAATACTATGCTTAAAAAATTAATTATTTTACTTAGGAGTCAAAGAATCAAAGGCTGCATTTATTTCTACTGGCGGCAAACGAGCAAAATCAATTGCATCATTAATTTTTTCACATGACATTAAACCAGATTTAAAAGATAATCCAATTTGTTGAAGGGCTTTAAATAATTCAGATAATGCTTTTCGCTTTTGTTGTAAAAATTGTTTAGCTTGAGATTTTTGTTTATCTTTGGGCAATTCCGAACTTATTTGTAACATACGTAAATCTTCAGCTGATTCTAATACACCATTTATAAATTCATTTAATTCAGCGATATAATTTGGATATTGACATTTATCCATGGTTTTGTGAGCTAATTTGGTAAGCTTCTTAGAATACTTATTGACATTTGCAAGAACTTCTGTAGCCATAGTTAAGTTCTAAATATATTTTATTTTAAATATAGAAACAAAATATCTAAAAACTTAATAATAATGTTATAAACACTTTAGAGACTCAGACATTAAGAATAGGGTAGTTAATAGGAAAAACTCTTGCTTAAATAGCGAGAGACCTGGGTTGATTCTCAGTCTGCTAGCATATTTTTTTTTAGTTTCCGAGCTTTTTACATTATTCATATTGAATTTTAATATTTTATAGGACGCTAATTATTTTTATAACAGTAAATATTATATTATGCTTATAACATAACACATAAAGAAGTAAAATTCATTTTTTTTTTAATATATGAAATAGAAACATTGTTGTAATTGAAATAGAATATATATATTATTTTTTCAATTATTATACAGTTACGTAAACTTACTATTGTGATTTCACACTCCTTTGTATAATCATTTAAATTGAAAGAAGGAAGAACATATGGATCTACTTTAGTTCCGGTATTATTATGTTGAATTGTCATAGCTGTAGAAGCAGGGTTATTTAAAATTTCCTACAAATTTTTAATTATTAAAAAATAAAAGTTTTAATTAAATTTTATAAAAATTACTTCATATTCTCTAGTATATTTATGTAAAGTTTGTTGAACTTTAGTAACTGTTTCTTTGATGGACCAATAATTTATATCATTCCATTTTATTATTTTCACAAAGTCTCGTAATTTTTTTTTAACATCAGCAGTTAGATTTTCTATTTGAGTATTTATATAACTTTCAAACTGAGAATAATATTTGTACAAATTCCAAGAAGCATTACACATTTCAATTTGTTCTTTGGATTGTTCTCTGTTAATTATATCACAATGAAACGTATATAGAAGTTTCAATCTTGTTGAGAACTGTCCTAATGTAGAACTCTCCATAAATTTTTGTAAAGTGACAATGAGTTGCTGAAAACTATCTTGTTTGTTTAAGTATCCATGAAAAATTGAATACAAATGGAACCACCATTTACAAGAGTCATTTTGCAGTCTAAAAATCAATATAATAATTGTTGTCAAAAATGTTTTGTCATAAATAATCATTTATTTCATACTTTTTAAATGTATATTGTAAACAGTTATTCCAAGTACTCAGTTCAAGATTTCGATAATCTTGAATGCAATAAGATACTTTTAAAACTAATTCATTTACACTAATACCACGATGAGCAACTTCTTCCCATTCATGGAGTTTTGTCAAGAGAAGTTCTAATCCAACAAGAAAACGACAAGTTGGACTACACCAATCAAATTCCATCATTCGGTCAATAACTTTCATTATCTATAATAATACATATTACAAGTAAAATTAATTAAAATTAAAAATATATATATATTATACTGTTTGAAGTGTTGGATGATCTGGCCATTCTTCAAGAAGACTTTTAATTTGATCTTCGATATTTCTAAGGAGGTCAAATGTTTTTATAGCATATTCTATATTAGAATCTCTATAAAAATCATAAAAACTTTTATTTAAAGGTTTTGTAGGATTACTTGCAATATCTGTAGCAAGAAGCATCCACGGAATCATTTCATTATCTAATGAATAATCTAAATACATAAATTTTTCTAATAATAATTTTCCAAACATACAAAATCTTTCAGAAAATGTATTTTTTATACGAAAAATTGCATCACTTTCATCGAAATCATAAGTTGTTGGTGACAACCAGTGAGTTAAAGCTGCCGGTCGCACTAATTGATCATGCAATCGACAAATATCATTTATATCTTTATCAGTTAGATTATACAGCTCTTCAGTATTGTTTTCAATAATATCACTATCAAGTGTATTAGGACCTTCAATATCATTGAAATCAGCCATTTTTGTAGTTGGAAATTGTTGCGTTACTCCTTGTGCAATATCTGCATCTACTGAAGTTACTTCACAAACTGATTTTAATTTATACAAACTTTCTTGCTCTTGTTTTTTATGTTCTTCTTCTTCTTGAAGACATTTCCAATTATATACAAATTTTTCAATAATACTTCTTATCGTGTTTATATGTTCAGTGGATCCACTATGTAAACGGCTTAAGTAAAGCATGTTATTTAACTCTTCTAAACATAATTTATACCACCTATAAAATAAAGCATTTGAAAATGGTAAAATATAAAATTTGTTATATAATGCAATATCTATATAGATAATTATTCATTTAATGTACAAGTAGAACAGAAAACACATAACTTTCAAAACAATTAACATTTTGCTTTAATTTTTTTATATTATTTATGGATTCTTAAACATTGTTAATATCATATTTTTTATTATTTATTTTTTTACAAATAGTCATATGATTTTTTTAGAATTTACTGATTACAGTGTAAAAAAAAAAAATTTTAATGAAATGTTTAATAAAGTAAAAGTTTTAAAAGGTATCATTTAAATTTGAAATACAAATTTATCTGATTTTTAAATATTATGAAATTATTTAAAAAGAAATATAAGAAAAATTGATTGATAAAACATTTTTTTAATTTAGACACAATCAACAATATTTTCAATCAAAGTTTTAGTAAATTTATATTTAAAACTAAGAAATCTGTTTTTATAAGTTAAAATTCTAAAATTTAGTCCTAAAAACTTTTAATACAATTAATAACAATAATGATAGTCAGTATTCATCTTATTTATTAATTATTTGATTCTTGAACTACCTAAATTTATCATTTGTATTCATAGAGGCTATATCATCCATATCAACCATTTCCATAATGTCAGGGCAATATCTAGGGAATTCGCCAAGTAATCTTAATAATTTTTCTTGATTATGTGTTATATGTGTTTCTCTTTCTAATGACCATTTAAAATAGTTTCGTAAAATTCTCATTCCATATCTCATCTAGAAATAAATTTTAAGTTTAAGAAATACTTTTATAACAATTTATGCTTAGGCTTTATATTGGGTATAACAGTGTAAATCAACTTGATTAAATCTTTATTAAAGAATGAATAAAAAAAATGAAAATAAAGAGATAATCAAAAATATATAATAATAAAATATTATACATACTTGATTGACAGAAAGAAGTATTCCACTAAGTACATCGGGATATGCAGCATAATGCTCATTTAATCGATCATGGAAACTAGCAACTGAAGATAACCAATTATCCATTTCACTTACAATTTGTTCCCGATTAGTTTGATCAGAATTTATTAATGAGTAAGTGTTACTATCTAATCCATACATCTTTGAAAAACGTGTAACTTCCTACATCAAAAATGATAATTCAATAAGTTACATAATTTCTGTTTCATTAAAAAATTATTGTGATTGTAATGTGTAATCTTTTAGAGATTAAAAACAATCAAGAAAGTGATAAAAATGATTATTCTAATATTAGCACTTAATTTAGATAATTATAGTAGCTATTTAATAATATTTATAATTTTTAAAGGTTTAAGTAAAAACAAAAATTTAAGACAATACTACAGTAGAGCAATAAATTATTGGTTAAAATTTTGTCAAAAGAAATTATTCATTATGTATTCATTTAACATTTTTCACAGAAAAAAATTAATATCAACAGCAATGTAAAATAAATTCTTTATAAAAAAATAGTTGATAATATTTAATATTCTCTTACATAAAATTTTAATGTGAAAAAATAAAACTAAAATTTTATTAATAAATATACTAAATTATATATTTAGGTTAAATATGTCCTAACAAAAAAATACTTACTTCTAAAATATAATTGTATACTGGTGGTTCTGGTCTATAGCCTAAACTAGTGCTTTCATCATTTAATGCTTTGAGTCTTTGAATAAAATAATCTCTAAATGGGAATAATTCTGAAATTCCTTCAACTTCACAAAATATTTTTTCAGCATTTAGTCTACTTTGAAGTTTATTTTTCTATATAAAAATTTTTATTTTAATTCATTATTATAAATCTACAGACTAGTAGTACATGCCAATTTTAATACAGATTGGAGTTAAGCATATAAAAACTAATATACAAGGTAAGTAGCCATTGTATATTAGTTTTTATATGCATAATATCAACTTGTACAATTGAAGAGTGAAAATCTAAAATAAAAACAGAAAAAAATTTAAAAAACGTATTGTTCCTGATGAATGTTCTACAACTTTAATTCTACACATATTAAAATAACAAAAAAAAATTTAATATATGAACATTTGACATTTTCACTCTTTATTTGTATTTTTAGTTTTATGGTTTCTTGTATCATAGAAATAAAATAATATTGTAAAAGATTGGGTATATAATGGAAATTTTGCATGCTTTAGGATATAAATTTAAGTATGTTTCAAAAATATAAATTTAAAATAAGCTAGCTTAAGAGGTCATTTCCATGTGGAATCACCTAATGTGTGTGCTGCCATAGTTCAGATTTATAGTTTACACATTATGGAAAAGTCATAAACTACGTAATTTCCAACATTTAATTTTTTTAATTTATTCTACACAAAAATAAAATATTACATACCATTGTAAGTAACTAATTTTAAAGTGATAACTTTTTCAAATATTATGTATTTTAGATAATTTGATTAATCTAAAATATAATAAAATGTCATATTTTAGAGTGTACTATAGAATAATTTTTATTATAAATGTCCTTAAAATTTATTCTACATTATAATTTAATTCTATTTATATATTATATATAAATATAAGTTCTATTTCTGTTTACATCATACCTAATTATAGTAAAATTAAAAAATTATTAGATCTAAATTTGTGGACTTGGTATTACATCTACAATCTGAAGATGAAAAAGATATTTGTGCGTATGATTCATTTGAAAAATTCTTAATTTGTCAAAATGTAGTCGAAGAATCAACAATATCTATTGCTGTAATTAACTTTATAAAGAAAAGTAATGGAGCTTTCTGAACTAAGCCATTACTCCTTGGATTTTGTTATAAGCCCCAATAACTTAATCTTGTACAGAATGAAGAATAAATACAAAAAATAAAAATTAAGTGTTGATAATTACATAGTTAGTGGATTTTTCATAATACGCAAATTATAAACTTTGCAAATTTTATAAGTAGCGTTAAAATTATTTCTTCATCATCAAATTTTCACCAGATGTTTTAATTGCTTAAAGGTAAGTATTATGTAAATTTGAAAAAAATTTGTTCAGTCACTTTTATGTAATGAGATGATAAAGTTGGCTATTTTCAGCATACCATGCGTGCTCAAAACCGTAAAACAATACAAAAAAAATTATAAATCGTTGCAAATATGATATGGGCTAAAAGAACATAACTAAAAGTTTCAGAAAAGAAAAAAAAATATTATATTAAAAAATTCAAAATTCATAAACTTAAGAAATTGAAGTACTATTTAATATGAGTAAAACAGTGCTAGTTCCACAGTAATAGCTTATTTGGATGTGAAGTAGGTTTTAGAATATAAGGTGTTTTTTCATGTTTTTAATTATAAAAAATGTGCTATTTGGTAAAAAAAAAATAAAAAAAAAAATTATTATTGTTGTTAATAACCTTTAAGAAGTCTATGATAAAAATTTCAAAATTTCTGAACATTAGTAGCACACACATTAGGCGATTTCACATGGAATGACCCTAAGATAAAAATTACCCTTCCTAATTACAAAGATACTTTAAGTTTTTATTATAATAATTGTATAATCAGTAATTTAACTATTTGATCTATAAAAAAAATTACTGCAGTTCATAGTTTTTCATATTATACTCACTTCTGCTTCTGAACAAGCAATTTTAACTTTAAGTTTTTGTATAGGATCAACTGGACTAATTGCAGAGAATACTTCCAATAAGCACATACCCGAAATTATCCATAAGCGACCAGAACTATATTGCAATTGTTTACTCAAACTATTAAATTTATTGTCAGCTTTTGATTTCATATGACTGCTAAGATAAATGTTTCTTTTTATATAAGAAATTTCTTTAGCAGCATCATAAATTGCCGTCACCATAGTTTCATGATGATTTACTTTTGCAGAAACTGATTTTCGGCATTCATCATCATCTCTTGTTAAGTATAGTTCTTCAAGAGATGTAAAATCAACAGGTAGAAGAGATGAAAAAAATGATTCAGTAAGTTTGATTAAAACATTATATTTTGTAAATCTATATGAACATAAATAATATTAGTAGCAAGTAAAAATTGATAACTATACTTTATTGTGAAATTGATATAATTCTTCAATATTGAATTATTTTTGATATCACAATAAAATATTCAAAAAATTATTGTTGAAGAATCTTAGTGACAAGAATAAATTTGAACTGAAATCAAAAACTTACTGAATTTTTGTGGTCCATTTAAAGTTGTACTTGATGAATTGTTTTATGAGTTTCATATTATGATTATTGTGATGTATAGATCGTATAGGTTTTGGAGCAAAAATGTAGTAGGGCTCATTTTTTTTTAATAATATTTTAGTCATAAACACACTAAACAAAGGTTGTTCAAATGAAAAAATATCCTACAGAAAATATAAATTGTTAACAATCATTTTAAAGGAAGATACTTATAATTATTATTTTATTTTGTTGTATAATATAGATGTAAGAAATTTTAAGTTAAAAAATTCAAAATTATTTTAAATAATTAATTTGTATTAGTTAATAATAAAAAATTATAGTTCTTCATGTTACAGGGTTAAGAAAACACAAGGGAAACAATAATTTCTATATCATTTAGATTATTTTAGATACAATCAATAAAATGTCAAAAAAATATTGTAGAGGATTCTTATCAAGTTCTGTGAAATGTAGAGGGTCTAAAAAAACAGAGTATCCTTCAAAAATTAAGTCATAAAGGTTCAGCGGATAATTTTTTTTTTCTTTATGATAGATAATAATTTCAAAATATTAAAAATTAATTGAAAAATGCATATTTTTTAATTTTTTTTCTTCACCAATAACATTACAGAATTATCATACATTACTTAAGTAACAAACCTTGTCAATAATTTCATCTTGTTTATGCAAACAAACATTTTTATTGTCTGACAATTCCAAAAATATTGTTGGACAATCAACAGCAACAGAATTTAATGAATGTTTCAAAGCTTCCAATAAAAAATCAATACTAACTTGATTACTTTTCAATGAATGGTAGTAAAATGGGGATACTGTTGGTATATATTGTAATAAAGACTTTGAAAACATAATATTATTGTTTGTTGTAAATGTATTTTTACTATCAAAATATAAGTGTACGAGTACAAGAAATAACTTTTCAATTATTAATTCCCATAATGGTAAAAGTTTTAATTCTAGATCATTCATTTGAACACCACAAAATTCTAAAAAAAAAAAAAAAATTATTATAAACAGTATAAAATAATTAGTTAAATACATACACAAAATTAATATACCTTTAAAATTATTATCAACATTTGATGTTTTAAAAGTGTCACAATTAAAATTGGATATTTTAATTATTTTATTTCTTTGAATTTTTGTTTCTTCAATAATTGACAATTCAATATTATTTTTTGACTTGATTGCAGAAAAATATTCATTATGTTTTCTGTATAAAAAATGTTTTTAATATTATATGTAAAAAACGGTAGCACAGTGGGGTCGCAGCACAGTGTGTGCATGGCATAGTTATGATAAATAATGATGATATCTAACAGTGATTAAAATCACTATCATAAGAAACGCTTCAATACAAATCTGTAGATAGTGTTTAATTTCAAGAAATTGGTGAATTATTAAAAAGTAAAATTTTAACTCAAAAATAATTAAGGAAAAATTTCAAAAAAATCATTGCCACAGGCAAAATTGGCAATTTGACCCAATTAAAACGTTAGAATTAATTTCTTCGACTTAAAAGAAAAAAAATAATAACTTTTTTATATTCTATGTCAATTCGTTTTATATAATATAATATGAAATCAGTGTACTCTATTATAAGGTATTTCCAGAACATTTTCAAAAGTTAAGTTGAAAAATTTCTACTTTTTTCTTGTTTCTTTTTTTAAATTTACCCCCCCCCCCTGTATAAAGGGAAATGGTTCGATTTACAAAAAAAAGTATGTCAGATGAAAGGTACATATATAATTTATTTAGAAACAAAAATTTGTATTGATTCATACATTTTTCATAAAGTAATAGTAATTCAAAGTTGAAAAAATAAAATATCAAATCGTAAATTTTATCACTAAAATTGCATGTTTTTTATTTACAGGAACCATTTTCACATAGAAGATAAGTTGTCGGGACAAATATTTTTTTTTAAACTTATAGTACATAACATTAGCTTTATTTTAGCATATTTTTGAAGCTTGGAGTATTTCCAGAACATTTTAAAACAGAACNAGCATATTTTTGAAGCTTGGAGTATTTCCAGAACATTTTTAAAACTTAAGTTAAAAAAGTTAAATTTTTGTGCAAAAGATTCAATTTTTAATTTCCTCCTGTGGGCAAGGAAAGGGTTAGATTTTCAAAAAATGTATATCAAATGAAAGGAAAATATCTAAGGTATCAATATAAAAAAGAATTATTTTGATTTGTTAATTTTTTCAATAAGTTATGGATATTTAAAAAAAAAAAACCCAGCACAGTGGGGTCGTGGCATAGGTGGGTCTAGTATAGATGATATCTGACAGTGATTTGTTAAAATGTTAAAATTTGTTAAAATAGCATATTTTTGAATACGGTAGCTATTTGCGCATAGAAGATAGGTCGTCGGGACAAATTTTTTTTTTTTATTTTATAGTACATAAAATAAGCTTTAATTTGATATATGTTTAAAGAACGCAGTATTTCCGGAACATTTTCAAAAATTAAGTTAAAAAAGTTATTTTTTGTAAAAAAGTTACTATTTTAAATACCCCCCCCCCCCATGAGCAGGTTAAGTGTTAGATTTTCAACAAAATGATATCAAACGAAAGAAAAATATCTAAGGTTTTAGTTGAAAAAAAATTATGTTGATTTGTTGATTTTTCAAAAAGTTATGGAAGTTTTAAGTACAAAAAACATCCCGATAAAAGATGATTTTTATCGCAAACATTACATTTTTTTTTAATTTTCGACAGCCATTTGCACATAGAAGATAAGATGTCGGGACAAATTTTTTTTTTTCATTTGATAGTATATAACATAACCTTTGATTTGATATATGTTTAAAGAACGCAGTATTCCCGGAACATTTTCAAAAGTTCAGTTGAAAAAGATCTATGTTTTTTTACAATATTTCAAGTTTTGAACGCCCCTTATATAAGGGCAATTGTCCAATTTTAATAAAAAGTATGTCAAATGAAAGATGTACTTATAATGTATTTAGAAAAAAAAAATTTGTGCTGATATATACATTTTTCAAAAAGTTATAGCATTTTTAAGTTGAAAATTTAAAATCGAAAATCGAAAATTTTAACACAAAAATAGTGTTTTTTTAACTACGGCAGCCGTTTAAATGTAGAAAAAAAAGTGTCGGGACAAATTTTTTTTTTTCATTTTGTAGTACATAAAATAAGCTTTAATTTGATATATGTTTAAAGGACGCAGTATTTCCGGAACATTTTCAAAAATTAAGTTGAAAAAGATCTATGTTTTTTACAATATTTTAAGTTTTGAACGCCCCCTATATAAGGGGAAATTGTCCAATTTTAATAAAAAGTATGTCAAATGAAAGATGTACTTATAATGTATTTAGAAAAAAAAAATTTGTGCTGATATATACATTTTTCAAAAAGTTATAGCATTTTTAAGTTGAAAATTTAAACACAAAATTAGCGTTTTTTAAACTACGGCAGCTGTTTGCATGCAGAAGATAAAGTGTCGGGACAAATTATTTTTTTCATTTTATAGTACATAAAATAAGCTTTAATTTGATATATGCTTAAAGGACACAGTATTTCCGGAACATTTTCATAAATTAAGTTGAAAAAGTTAGTTTTTGTAAAAAAGTTGCTATTTTAAATTTATGAGCATTTTAAATTTAAACCATGAGCAGGTTAAGTGTTAGATTTTCAAAAAAATGATGTCAAACAAAAGGGAAATATCTAAGGTTTTAGTAAAAAAAAAATTTATGTTGATTTGTTGATTTTTCATAAAGTTATGGAAGTTTTAAGAAAAAAAAGTGAAAAAAATGACAAAATTTACCGATTTTTAAATTTGTAATTTTTTTGGATATTTCCCCCATTTTCGGGGAACGAGGGAATTTTTTTCAATTTTTGAGGGTAATGTCTTCGACTAGATACGATTTGTGATCTTTTGACGTATCATTGAAAGAAATCGGTTTGGTGAGAGCTGAGAAAAAGTGGTAACAGACAAAAAAAAAAAAAAAAAAGACATAGTAAAATGAATACCTTTTCAGTTTCGCATCAAAGCTAAAAAATTTCAAAATTTATCGATTTTAAAAATCGTAATATTTGAAGGATTTTCACTATTTACGGGGAACGAGGGTAAATTTTTCAATTTTTGAGGGTAATGTCTTCAGCTAGATACGATTTGTGATTTTTTAACGTATCGTTGAGAAAAATCGGTCTAGTGAGAGCTGAGCAAAAGTAGTGAGACACAAAAAAAAAATAAATGCATCATGGTAAAATTAATAACTTCTCAGCTTTGCATTTAAACTAAAAAGTATATTATTATAAGACTGTTGGTACTTTTGAAAGCCTGAAAAAACTGTATTGCAATTTGAAGGTATTTAATTGCTGGTAGTTGTAAATATTGGTATATAGAATTTTTGGATATTTGTAGTAATAATTGGATTAATAATAACTGAAATTCAATAATAATAGTATTTAATGAGTTTTAATAAGTATTATTCATTCACCAATATTTTCAGTATATTAAATAAAATTTGCATTGAAGTTAATACCAACAACCTGTACATAGATTTGAACACGTCCAATCCAATATTATTATTTGTGTTAAATTCTTGTTTTAGTATGAAGGAATTTCAACAAATACTTACATATGAGCTTCAATTAATATATCAGCATGGAATTTGCAACATTGATGTATAGGTATCTGCATTCGTTTTACATAACACTTTAATAATTTTGCATAACGTTTAGGTGTCAAATAGTTTCTCTGAACTTCATCCCTCATTAACTTCAATCTTTCTAAATATGCATATCTAAAATTAAACAAATTTTAAATTTATATTATGATAAAATGCCTACAATATTTAAGATTTGTATATTACTTTTCACCAATTGTAATGGATTCAGATAATGGAATAAAATGTTTAACAATTACACTGAAATAGCAATATGTCAATACTATGAGAAATTCTGCATTTTTCTCTAAATTTAAATAAATTAATTTTTCAATAGTTCTAGTCCAACAAATAATTTCTTTAAATGATCTGTAATTAATTTCATCAATGACCAATGAATACTCATTCAGGAAATAATCAATAAAGTCATCAAAAGCAGCTGAAAAAACCGCATAATCGTGAAGCATTCCACCATCTTGGATCATTTCTCCTAAAAAAATTTAATTTATCTATAAAACTAAAAGAAAAAAATTATTTAATCTATAATTAAAATAAATGAGTAATTTTTAAAAATCTTTCAGATAGTAANTAACTTTAAAAATATATATTTGAGAACATTGATAATTTTTGTACCTTCACTAATAAGCTGTCAATCCACTCAAATTTCCCACCAGCATTTAAGCTACCAGTAACATTAACACGATTAATTAACATTTTAAGTTGGGATGAAAAATCAGAGTTTTCAATTAAATTAGTTATTTCAACTAAAGCTGATATTCGTTGTTTGAACAAAGAAGTTTCAGATGCCATAGTAATTCCAATGCTGTTTTGAACATCTAAAATTATAATCAAATTGTTAGAATTTATATTTTTATTATTTTGGAATATAACTAAAGAATATGTAACACAAGAAACATATTACTAGCATGGTTTACTTAAGTTTGACAATGAAAATTTCTAGTGTGTATTTTAATTTATATATTATAAAATAAAATAAATTCTCTCAATTATATAATATTACTATTTTTTAGGTTAAAAATAATTATGATAAATAAAACATAATTTGTAATATTTTTAAAGGGACAACAGCTTAAAGAAACATAACAATGATAAAAACCAATGAATAAAACAATTTACTTACTCTTTTTGTGGTTCTTAAAAATAGCAGAGTCATCATCTAAAGCCTTATTTAAAGCATGTTCTAAAATTAAATGTATTTTATTTTCAGCACTAGGTGTCATTTTGTTTAATGTATTATTATAATAGATAACTGGTAAATATCTGCAGTCATATGGTAAATCTTTATAATCTTTACAATTTATAGTTTTGTTTACATAAGTCAACATGTCAAATTCTAAATTAGGTACACATTTTATAAAATTTAGAATAGCTTCAGATTCAAAATTTATATTTGTAAGTAGCCATTGACTTCTAGTTATTAAATCAGTACTAGAAGATCGTCCAAAATATGATAATAACAAATCTTCTAAGGAAATATTATTAATTTTTTTGTACTGTTTCAAAATATCACTTTGTTGTTGAATATAACATAAATTTGCTGATTGTAAAACATCAAGTGTTTTAATATTAGAATACAAAATATGATTCTCAAGAAGTTTATCATTATGATTCGCTAAAATTCTATCTATTTCTAAGATGGCATTTTGTTTTGAATTTCCAAATACACTTTGTAGATAAATATCAATACACGTTTCTCGTATAATTTGCAAAATTGGTTGTTTTCTTTTTAAATTTTGATATATTAAATAAGCTGTTCTTAATAAGTGATTGATATTAACTCCCGTTTTTAAATTTTTAATTGATTTATGAATTTCAATTAATGTATATCTTATTGAATAATTTTTAATGCCTTGCAACTCTAATAATGAATGAATATCATGTACACTACTTTCTTCTAAAGTTTCCATATAAATTTCAACACCCCGATTTTTCATTGCTCTATAATCAAAATTATGTTTAAATAAGTTAATTTTACTAAGTGAGATTTGATAATTAACTACCTTGATATAGGACCATGTTTAGGGTCCATAGCTAAAAAAAGTCGGAAATTTTCATGCGGTTTGATAATTGTTAAATGTCCATCAGACCCTATGCCTTTTTCTCCTAAAACTAGACATCCATTTGGTTCTAACAAACCATTTAAACGATCTAGGACTGCAGGACTACATAAATTGACATTGTCAATCAATAGCCATATGCCATTATTTAAGCACTGAAAAAATATATATATCTTTTATATTTCTATTCATATGCTCTTATATTATAATGAATAGGAAAAGTTTAAATGATAACTCTTAAACATTTTAATCAACCTAACAGTTTTAATTTTTTTAGCCATTTTATAAAATGTATCCAAAGAAAAATGTTGTTACTAAAAACTTATTTAATCATAAGTGATATATTACTATTGCTTTTTTTAGTGTATTTTGTAACAAACTGATAATAGTATAATAATTTTCTTTATATAAATAATCTAAACTTAATGAGTTATTATAATTGAAGTGAAAAAAATAAATAGTATATTACAACATTATGTTTTTTTGCTCAAAATTCTTTATAAGTAACATTTTTGGTAAAAAATGTAGAGTTCTCATGAATTGGAGGGTGGACTTTTGTCTCTTAAACTCCCTTATAAATACATTTCTTTAGATTTGTATTTATAAGTTTGTATTTAATAAATAGTGCTATAAAGTAATTTCAAGGTATTATTTGTAAAGAATAATTATTATATATAATAGTTAAAATACATTTAGAAAATAGATTAAAGTATTAAAATCATATTACAAATATTATCAATTGCATACACATTTAATTTAGATAATGCACAATTTTAATTAAATAGTTATAATTATTTTGTAAACATTTAAATATAAATTAATATACCTAATCATTTTTTATAAATATAAAAATATCTTTTACACATTTTTAAATTTACTTATTTGGAAAGAAAAACTAACTTTAAAAATATATATTTGAGAACATTGATAATTTTTGTACCTTCACTAATAAGCTGTCAATCCACTCAAATTTCCCACCAGCATTTAAGCTACCAGTAACATTAACACGATTAATTAACATTTTAAGTTGGGATGAAAAATCAGAGTTTTCAATTAAATTAGTTATTTCAACTAAAGCTGATATTCGTTGTTTGAACAAAGAAGTTTCAGATGCCATAGTAATTCCAATGCTGTTTTGAACATCTAAAATTATAATCAAATTGTTAGAATTATAATAAGACTATTTTTTTTTAATTTTAGCTAATTAACCTGACAATCTTTGAAATTTATACCATAGCGCCAATAATAAAACACAATCAATTTTACTATCAATCAATTGTAAGCTAACTTTATTATAAACACAAGATTCTACCTTTTTAGCTATTTCTTCAAGATGCCTATTATAATCAGCCTAACATAAAAAGAAATATTTGTAATTAAACAACCTATGTTATAAATCTATATGAGTATTCATGAATTCACTTGTTCAAATCCTCCTAAAATTTCAACTGAGTCCATTGAACTATTTACGGGCAAAACTCGTAATTCTTGTCCACATAATTGAGCTAGAGTTTTAACAACTGAAGTTTTTCCACTGCTAGTACCAACCTAATAAGAAAAATAATTAATTTTAAAAATATATATATTTCATCTCATTTTTTAAATATTTATTATATACATAATAAATTAAAAATAATTAAATATTAATTACCAATATGGGCATCCAATTCATTTTAATGCAAACAGCTAAAGAGTTAAGTGTATGGATATGTGATCTAAGAATTAAATGTTGATTAAACTGATCAATAGGTGTTCCTACAGCACATTTGCGAGGAATTTCAAATCGATTAAAAAGAACTGTAGATGGTAATACTTTAATGTACTCATATTTTTCAAAATCTATGTTTAATAAGTTTTTAATTTCAGCAAAAACCTAAGAAAAATAAAACAAGAATATTTAAAGTAAATTAAAGAAACATACACACACAAAAGTTGTTTACCTCATTCTCAACACATTTCAGATTAGCCATTCGATCAGTCAATATTAGTGGAAGATGATCAAGAATATTACAATCAAATTTAATAGTTACTTCAACCCACCGTAATATATCTCTTAAGTTGAAATCAACATTATACTTTTTACTTAATGTTTCTGTGAAATTAACAACTTTATCCAAATTTAAAGATTCTATTTTTTTTGCATTAGAATCATTTACTTTTTTAATAATACTAACAATATTATTACTGTCTAAAATATCTAAATAAACCTAAAAAAAAAAAAATGAATTGAATTGAATTTTATACCTAATTGTACATAAAACTGATATTTTTATTTTAATTTATTTAAAATACTTGAAGAAATCTGTTTAAAAATGACTTAGGTAGTCCCTTTCTAGCTCCACCTTCATTCATAGGATTTTGACATGCAAATAATCTTGTGTTTTTTGATTTAACAAGAAATGTTTTTCCAAGTTCTGGTATATATAACTCTCCTCTATGATCAAGAACAGCATTTAACCCTTCCAGAACTGACTGAGAAGCTAAATTTAACTAGATTAAACAATTAATTACTTGGTTTTTATGATGACTTTCTGAATATTAACATAATTTAAAAAAATGTAAAACAATAATTTTAGTTAAATGTTGTAATCAGATTTAAAATGTATTCTAATAACATAAAAATAATTGAAGTTCAATATTTTCAATTTTAATTTCTTTTTTTTTTTTTGAAAATTTTTTAATGATATGTTTAAAAAATATAACAAAAACAACGGATTTTTAAAAATTTTAGTTTAATTTTATCCATTAAAAAATATAATTTCATTCATATATGTAATACGCTTAAGTAGTAGAAAGTATTTGAAAACAAAATGTATGTTGCATTTTTATTCTATAAAAAATAATTTATTATATAATTTATAAAATCACAATCAATAATTGTACAGTTCCACAGATACAAGAACAGAAATGGTAGACTCATACTATTATCTATACAGGTGTCACAGTAGTCAATCACTAGTATAGTAACAATATACTGACCCCTCCGATATATGATAATGTTAAGTACAATACATACAGAATTAATCATGAAGATATAACAAATAAAAAAAATTTTTACCATCTCATTAAAATTTTTTTTTAAATGATTATTGCCATTTTAGATTATGTCCTAAATATATATTTTATTATTTTTCACTAATAAATAAATAAATATATATATATGTAAAACAAATATATAAACAAAGTACCTCATCTAATAGGATCCAACTTCCTTCTTTTAATGCTCTCAAAAATGGACCATCTCTCCATTCAAAACTTCCTCCATCACCACCATCAGTGGGTAAATCGGCTCCAAATAAATCAGATACATCTGTTTGTTCAGAAAGATTTATCCGTGTTAATTCATGTCCTGAAGCTTTAGCAATTGCTTGAACAAGACTAGTTTTTCCAACTCCAGGACTACCTTCTAATAGAATAGCACGATTTTCTATTTGCATACATCTTAATAGTCTTTTAATATTTTGTTTGGCAATAGGAGTTTCAAAGGAAAATTCAGCAACAAATTTTTGAGGTAGATTTCCTAGAAAAAAATTAAATTAAAAAACAAATATTGTAATCAAGTATATAAACAGTAGCACAGTGGGATCGCTGTACAATGGAGACGTGGCATAGTTGGAGAAATATGGATTAAAATTACTATCACATGAAATACTTCGATGTAAATTCATGGAACATTTTCAAAATTCAATTTGAAAAAGTTAAATTTTTGTGCAAAAGTTTCTAATTTAAATCTTCTATGTGGACAGGTAAAGGATCAGATTTTCAAAAAATATATACCAAATAAAAAGGAAATACCTAAGGTAATTAAATTAAAAAATATATTTTATTTTATTTATTTTTAAGAGTTATAGCAGTTTTAAGAAAAAAGTTGAAATTTATCAATTTTAAATATTAAAATTTTTTTGGGGATTTCACACATTTAAAGGGAATGAGACAATTTTTTTTCAATTTTTAAGGTCATTATCTTCAACTAAAGACGACTCTTGATCTTTCAATAGATTGTCAAAAGAAATTGATATGATAAAATCTATGAAAAAATGGTGATATAAAAAATAAATACATTGTAGAATTAATAATCTTCGAATCATAGCTAAAAAATGTAGTAAAATATAAAACTAATAACATACCTTGAGGAATATAATAACCATCATAGCCAAACCATTTTGGTGCTGCAATATGTGGAAAATAATCTTGTAAATTACCAAAAACGTCACCAGATGTTGTATGGTTGTTATCAAGTAAAGAATCTCGTAAAGCAGAGTAAATGTATTCATCCAAACTTAATATAATAACAAAATATAATAAGTTTAATGTCATTATTTATTTAAAATTAAAATAAAAAATCTTACACTTTGTCAGAGGTTGTTTTTTTGTCTAAAAAAATCATTATTGCACCTTCTTTATAAAATGTTCTAAAAGATTTTATATTGTTGTAGTTAGAATCATCACTAGATAATTTGTTCATCATAGCTTCAATAAATTGCACCCAAATCAAAAAATCTCTAATACTTATATTCATTTTTAAATAACTATTAATAATAAAATAAATAGTTAATTTATATCTATATTATTTAAAATAAATGCAAGCAGGAGTAAATTTTATATTTTGGTGTCCTAGGCAATATAAATTTTTTATATCAGAAAAAAATTTCTGTTATCAACATTTTTGTTATTATAGTTCTCTTTCAACTATTTTAGGTACCAAAAAAAATTATAAAAATTGCATGTTTATGTAACTTAATTTGTCAACAATATTTTTAAGTAACTGAAATTGTTACTGATTTTTTGAAACAATTTTTTTTTCAATTATGATATTTCAATAAATAACACAAGAGAACAAGAAATAAGAAATTTCCCATTGTCTACAATATTTAGGTTAATTTTAAATAAAATTTTAATGCTGATTCCAAATGTGGCATATTGAATGATTATAGAAAATTGAAAAATAATTCTTTTTAGAACTTAATGATGCTAAATAAGAGTTGTACAAAATTTGGGACTTATTCATCAAGTTAAATCTTTTTTACGGACCTTTAAATTTGAGAGGAATTTTCCAATATAGCTATTTTTGAGTTAATCTTATAAATATGAAAATACTATCAATAGATAAATAATTTTATAAGAAATCCAAAATTTTTTTAAATTTTTTATATGATAAATAACATAACAAAGTGCAATTATAAATATATTCTTCATCTAGGCTTTTACAGGCCATTTAGGCTCATTGCCACAACAACACTTGTCTCCATCGGTCCCTGTCTCTTGTCAATTCTTCTCCATTCTCTACTCAGAGTTCTTTCAAGTCCTTGACCATTCTATCCTTCCATCTTTGTCTAGGACATCCCCTAAGTCTCTTCGTGTCTGGTCTCCAATTTGTCACCTATCCGATTGTACCTTCCAATCATCACACGTGTCCGATCCTACCTCGATCTACTACTTTTTAGAATTCCAATGATATTTGCTTCGCCGTATAGGTCTTGAATTTCTTTGAACTACTAATTGTTTGTCCATTCCAATTTAAATTCCACTCACTGTTACTAGGGTTTCTCTTACAGCTGATTCCAATGATATATTGAACAGAGTTGGGGACAAGACATCATCCTGCCTTGTCCATACCTTGAAGTCCTTTAACACGACACCTCCGAACTTCACTTTACACTTTAATCCCTGTACACATGCACGGATTAGTCTAACAAACTTTTCAGGTATTCCCAATTGGTACATTACGCTCCACAGCTTCTCTGTTCACCAAATCATAGGTGGCCTTGAAATCTATAAATAGGAGGTGTATATCCTTGTCAAATTCGTGACTTCTTTTGGTTCTATGCTTAATGACATGTATCTGGGTCTAGGGTTGACTTTCTTGCCATAAAATCTCCCTGGTAATCTCCAATAATTTCCTTTATATAAGGTTTTATTCTAACAAGTAGAATATTAGACAGAACTTTATACGCTGTGTTCAATAGCGAGATTCCCCTATAATTTTTACAGTTCATAGGATCTCCTTTTTTCAAAATAGGACATGGTATTTCTTCAAGTTCTCACACTTTAATAACCAGATTGTGCATCTGGTTTGTCAATTGTAGCCTTCATTTTTTAAGGTATTCAGAAATTATTCCATCCTTTCCAGCCGCCTTTCCATTTTTGAGCATTTCCAAACCAATTTCTACTTCTGCTCTTGAAGGTGGTTCTATATTTTTCTCTACCGAGGTTTATTTTTCTATAATTGTCTTTTCACTAGATTGGTTAAATAGTAATATTAATTTTTTTAAATTCCTCTGCTATTTATCCGTTTTTGGTCAATAACATTCTGTTTTCTCCACTAATCATTGATGATTTACATTTAAATTCATTCACTTTTTCAAAAAAAATTCGTACATTATTCTTTCTACTATTTTCTATGAGTTGCATTCTTTCTTTTTCCTATGCTCTTTTGATCATCCTTATCATCCTTTTTACCTCTCGCTGTTTCATGGCTAGTACTCTTTTATTTTCTTCTCTTGAGTTCTGTAATACTTTTAATCTGGCTTTATCCCTTTGTTCCATGGCCTTTTTACACTGATTATTGAACTAGGGTTATTTTTCTTTTCTGAGGCTCATGACCCAATACTTCTACTGTGGTCCTTTTCACCGCTGTTTCTACTCTTCCCCACAATTCGTCTATATTTGTTTCTTATATAGAATTCAGAAAGTATTTATTTAATTTATCCTGAAATTACTTGGCATGGTTTACTATATTATAAACATATATATATATATATATATATAAAGCTCAAAAGACTGCAATTTTAATTTTATAAGTCTTTTTTTAGTGCAGTTTTTTGACAGTTTGAAAAAAAATATTAAAAGCTTATGTATTTTTTAATGATTAAAAAATGTTGTAATTAGATTTGGCATATTACAATTGGTTATGCAGTTATTTAAATACTAATTGTAAAAAAAAAAAACAAAATATTTTGCAATTTGCAATAGGTCATTGAGTTAAGAAGTAAATAAATCAATTAAACTATGAAATAATTTTAATATGTCAAATCTACATCATTGTATTAAGTATCAAAAAATATATTATGTTGTTAATTTTTTTTACAATTATCACATAAACTAGATGTGTTATAAAAAATCTGAAGCCAGATGGAGTCAGCATCACAATAAAATTCATCTAAACACTGTAGATAGCAAAATGGTTGTTCTGTGTGATCAATATTGAGAAATTGAAAAAAAACATATCAATATTGTTAACAAACTCTATTATATAATGTTCTTTTTAAATTGTAAGTTAATTAAAGTCAACATAAATATTCTTACTTTTTAACAGGTTCAGTAATTGTTAACCAATTGACAAATCGTGTCATAGATTCGCTTAAATACAAATTGTAATCATGGAATTTTAAAAAATTTCTTTTAATTATTTGTATAAGATCATCATTATCTGAACATCCCACACACCAAATTTCAGTTAAACGGTTTCGAAGTGCAGGTGATAACTTCAAATCAATTAAAAAAATGTATAAAATCTGATATATAATAAAAAAAATTGTTTTATTTACCTCTTTTTTACCATAATCACCTCCAGGATTCATTGTTCCAACAAAACAAAAACCAGGATGGGCTACAAGTTCTGAACTACTGTTATTATTTCCTAATTTTTCACTTAATAAAATTTTTCTCTCAGGTTCTAGAGGTAAAAAAGATAAATTAAATGTATTGTTGAAAATAAAATAAAATTTAGTGTAATAATTTATTTTATTGTTAAGTAAAACATTTATAATTTATGCTTATGGAATATTAAAAAATAGTAGGCGGCTGTGTGATCTGTTTTTTTTTTTATTTTTGTGTGATGGGTAGTTAGATTTTCAATGCCGGTGCATTGTAATTACTGTTATATATATTATTTGTTGCCTATTTTACTTTTACTAAATTAAATTGTTATAATACTTTTGTTTAAGCAGTTGTTAAATATTATTATAACTCCTTTTTAACATCTCTATTTTTGTTTATAACAGCAATATGAATATTTATTATTTTAGGGGTAATATTTTGAATATAAACTTAAGAAAAAATTGTAACTATTGAAAATTAGACATACCTAATAATGAATTGAAACGTTCTAGAACACTATCATCAGCAAGAGATATTTCATCAGCTAAAAACATATGCCCTTCTACCATGGCTTTTATTAATGGCCCATCAACCCACTCAAAAAGTCTTTGGTCATTTTCATTTTCTTTACTTCTAACTGGACGTAATCCTCCTAAGAAATCAGAACTTTCTGTGTGTTGATGACAATTGACAGTCAATAATTTTTTAGAAATTATACATGCAATCATTTGACAAACAGTTGTTTTACCACAACCAGTTTCACCAACAAGTAAAATAGGTTCATTAAACTCAATTGCTTTGCCTAAAGTTGAAAAAAATTAGATTTTTATAAAAAAAAAAAATATATATATATATATATATATACATACAAACATACATACATACACAGTATGATTTACTTATCATGAACCATTTAATTGATCAAAAAGAAAAATAATAATAATATTTATATTTGTTGTTTTATATGTTTCTTTCAATTTTAAAATCATAAACTTTTTTTTTTTTTTTTATACTTATTAAGGGTATCAACTTTAATTTCTTAAATAGCAACACCCATAATTAACCATCTTACTTAATAAATTATGATCTTATTAAGAAAATGACTGGTCAATAACAACTTTTGGACCAGTATATTAGAAGCTATTGACAATTTAAAGAAATACTGGAGGTGAAGAGTGGGTGCTGATATTTTTATAACAAAACTTTCCCAGCTGTACTCTTCCTCTCACCTAGACATCAATATGTCAATTACTTCCAAAATACTAGTCTAAAGAAACAAATAAAAAAACTATTAATATTATTATTATTTCTTCGATTAATTAAATGGTTTTTGATTAGTGAATCATCCTGTATGTATATATATAAATCTTACAACATAGTACAATCATTCTTCTTATATTTTTTGACAAGAATATTTGTTGAAATCCTAGTGGTGGTTGTTGAATTTTTTCTAGGATATGACGAGTAACTAATGAAGATTTTTCACTTACTAAAAATTATAAAATATGATTTTACAAATTTATAATTAAGAATTGGGAAAGAAATATTAAAATACTTACAAGTAAATAATCTATCTAATGATAATGAACATTTGAAATGTTTTTCTAATGTTTGTATTATTATTTGTTCTTCTTCTTGTTTTCGTACTTTCGATGCTAATACTAAAAAACCTGAAATACCAAAAACATATTATATAATCTTATAATATTTAATTATTTTAAATATTTATAAAGTTAATACAATAAAATTTTAAGTAAATTAATTATAATAATGATTCTTTTGAATGTTTAAAAAAGAGAAATGTAAGTCTTTATTATTTTTTTTTTAATAAACTTTTTTGGCTAAATTACCTTCATCTGCTAAATGTTGATTCCAATTATAATTTTCAGGGGCATTTGCTAATCTATAACGCTCACCCCATCTAAATAAATCTCTCAGGGTAATAAATCCATGTTTACCCGCAAAAGCAGCACTACCTTTTCTATTGGACTGAAGATCCTTCATGACAAATACTACTTTTTTAGCATAAGATGGAGGCATTTCACACCGTTTATATAATATTGTTTCCAATTCATTAGCAGGAATCTCATCAAAATGCATTTCAATAAATCGATTTTTAAAAGCTCTAGATAAAATCTAGATAAATTGAATAAAAAACAAGATTAAATAATAAAAACAAAATTATTAAGACTTACTTTGCGGCCGCCATAAAGTCCTGGAGGGTTTTGTGTGGCAAATAATCTAAATCCTGGATGAGCTTTAATTAAAGTTTGTGTTTCGGGTATAAATAATTCTCGATTATCATCTAAAACACGATTTAAAGCCTCAAGTACATCAGTAGGGGCTAAATTTAATTCATCTAATACAATCCAATTTCCTTTTCTCATTGCTTCAACAAGGACACCTAAAATTATATAAAAGACTATATTTTAGCATAAGAGTACATTTAAATCTTTCACTTTTATTTCATAATGATTGTTGACCTTCTTTAAATACTAATTGGCCAGTTAATGATTCAGCCGAATAGGAACCAATATATTCTTGTAGATCAGTATGTTCATGATTGTTGATACGAACTAAAATATTACCAGATGCTGCTGCTAAATAAGTAATAAGACTTGTTTTTCCAACACAAGTATCACCTTGAATTAATACAGGATAACAACTCAATGAAACTGCCCTAACAAGATCACGCAGGTTCTTTTTAACACTATCTGTTAAGATGTACTATAAACAACGTTTATTAGAAAATAATAAAAAGAAAATTAAGAATATATAAGTACTTTTTGAGTAGTCAAAGGTTCCAAATTGCCTTTACTAATCCAATAGCCTTCAAATTGAACATATGATCCTGTACTAGGTTTCATAATGGGTTGATTTATAACACCTTGAATTAATTTTTCACCAAATATAGTAGAAGAAATTAAAGACTCAACAGTTTTATGAGAAGCACTATCTAACTGTGTTAAAAAACTTAAACAAAATGATTCGTATAATGATCTTTGTGCAGATTGACAAGGGTTTGATGAGGCTATAGCTAATGCACGACAATAAGTACGTAAACTATAATGAGGTTTGTGTCCTGTTCCATCAACTAGTGATTTTTCTGATTCTCTTTTAGCTATTAAATAAAACTTGGACATGGCATTTAATTTTTGAGCGGTGTAATCTGGGAGATAACATGCTGTCATAGTGATTAAGTCTGATCGTTCAGTTAACTCATCAACATAGAATTCAGTGAACCTAAAATTTGTATGAATAGAATTGTAGGACTTTAAAAGTAAAAATTAAACTAAAACAAACCTATTTCTTATTCCAGGGGGTAGGTCTTTTTTACCAATATCTGTTGCAGGATTCATGGCTGCCATAAGTCGAAAGTTTTTATGTCTTATTATAGGATTTGTATCTTTTCTTTCATACACATTTATAGTTCCACAAGATTCAAGTAAACTAGACAAACATTGTAATGTTTCAGCTGAAGCAAGATTTATTTCATCCAACAAAACCCAATAACCTATAATAATAATTTCATAATACACAAAAGTTAAATATTTAGAACATTTTTTTTAGTTACCTTCTTTAACAGCACGAATAAGACTTCCTTCAACATAAGCAAATGCCATAGCTGTTTGGCATTGTTTAAACTGATTTTCAAAGCATGTTAGTTTTTCATTAAGTTTTAACCATGAATCAACTGGTTTATTACTTTTATTATTTTTATTCAAAGCCTTTTGAGTTACATGTTTTATTAATTTTATTAAGTTTTGCCATTTCTGATTGTTAAAGCAAGTCTAAAATAATCCATAAATGGTATTAAAAAATTTATTTCAATTATATTAAAATCTTTTACCGATATGTGGCCCAAAAACTTAGTATTCTGTTCTATGTTAAATTCAGCTCTAAATAAGTTCTCAAATTCCTCTCTAATAGGTTTGACTATGTATTTTAATTCTACTGGTTTATAACCTCCAACTAGATCAACACTGTCACTTTGTTGATTCATATTCAAAACGATTAGTTTATTTCCAGTGTGCCTAGCTAACAACTGTAGTGTAGATGTTTTTCCTGTACCAGTTTCCCCTACTAGTAAAACTGATTCTTTTGCAGCAATACAACAAGCAACTCTTTCCAACAGACAAGAAGATGAACGTGTAAGAGCAAATTTACTATTTGTTCTAAAAATTAATTTTAAAAATTATACTTTAATTTATATAAATAAATAAATCATCTTACAAATTATTTTCTGTTAAAAGTATATCAGTACGTGGTAATGTCACACGTCCAGCAATACAAAATTTTTCACCAAGGACTATAGTAGGTTTATATTCATTTAAAATATATTCAGCTTTTGTTTTTATTACGCCAATTAATGAAGCAATATGACAAGCCAATTCAATTCTAATTTCTAAAAAAAAAAAAAAAAATTTAGTTTAAAAATTGTACAATCCGGAAAGATTTTTGAAATATTCATAAAATGTTTCCTTATAGATACCAAACTTTGAAGAATTTAATTTAATTCATTAATTTTTAGTGAAATTTATTCAAATAATATTTGTACTCGCTCAGGTAAACTATTAAAGTTTTGTTTAAAAATAGAGAACTTGTGATAATTTGTAAAGATATATAAATTATATTATTGTTGATGTACCATTTATATGTTTGTTTGGTACATTAATTTTGATGATATTATTGAAAATTTATTAAATAATATAATTTTTAAACAATGTGTCATTAATACAAAAAAAGATGATGTTAAACAAAACATTTATATGAATAAATAAATTACATACTTGAGTTCACTGCACTACAACAAAATACATCTATAGCATCTTGAATTACTTTCAAAGCTGACTCACTGGAAGTAACACTATACTCATTAACTGCTCTTGAACACCATTTCATCAGATCCCTAGTGGAAGTTAATCTACTAATACTTTTTATGCAAGTATAATCATACTTTTCATGAAATCCAACAGAAAACAATAAAAAAACATCTACAATTTTTGTAGCTATTGTTTTCAAAATAGGAAACTGTAAAAATTATTATCTTTATAATTAGTTGATAAAATACTAAATTTTAATTATAAAATAAAAATTACCTTGGTTTCTACAACTTCAATAAGTTCATTTTTAGTTAATGGTTCTACATTTACTTGAACAGAGTGTTTTTCTAATAAATCAGTTGCAATATTATGTTTTTGATGAGACCCACCACAAGCAGTAGCTAAAATTCTTTGAGTAAAAAAAAGCTGAAATCCAGTGGCAGGAATAATCCTATCCCTAAATCCAGGCACAGTTAATGAATTATTTTCTATAAGGGAAACAAGAACTGCCGCTAAATCGCTAGATGCACAATCTATGTCTTCAAGCAAAAGCCATAATCCTTCAGTCACAGCCTACAATTATATAGAATAAAGTTAATTATTTATAAAAAAAAAAGTTCCCGATCATTTCCTAGAAAACACCCAGGTATTTATAAATTAAAGTTACTATTAAATAAAAATTTAATACTACATTAAAAACAATTTGTTGTAAAAATATTGAACTACTTAATGTAGATTCCTATTCTATACATTTTACAAAAAAATTATCATAATTTCCATACTTATTTTAATATTTCAATCAAATTATATATTTTTATAAATAAAACGTTTTGAAAAAATAATGGCATAAAATAAATTTATCTTTGGGTTCCTTAAAGAATTCTCTTATGTTACTTTTTTTTTAATACAATTTTAATCAAAGTAATATAATTTTAATATAAATTGTTTTCAAAAAAATTTAATGATAATTTTTCTATTATAAATGGGTATTTTTAAATTTTTTAAATTTTCTTCTTTTAATTTAACTTTTCAAGAGGCTTAAGTCATTTTAGACTTAAGCCCCTTTTCTTCCAAGATCATATGTATTTTTCATTGATTCTTAGCAAACCTTGGTCAAAACTCCCGGTTGCCACACAAATTCTCCAGGAATATCCGTACAATGATATGAACCAAGCATCATCTTTGAATCAGTTTCATCCCCAAGTTGAACGGTCAATAATTTTCTATTACTATGTCCTGATTGAGAATAAAATGTTAATAAGAAAAATTAATTGGATGAATTTTATATAAATCCCAGAAAGTTAATAATAATTATTGTGTTAAAATTAATTTATAAGAAAATAAAAATCAAGACTTTTTGAAATAAACATGGATATTAAATTATTAATTGACTTGAGTTTTACTAATATTTATTTAATTGTGTCAACTTTCAGTCAAATTATGGTAGTTCCTAAAGTCAATTTTTTTTTTTACATTTAACATATAATATATCAAACACTAGCCTTGTTTTGTAAATAATCAAAACTTTGCTGTTGGTTTAATATTTTATAATTACCAGTAATATCAGCTAAATAACGAATCAATACACTTTTTCCACTTCCAACAGGTCCAACTAAGCAAACTACTTTACCTGCAGAAATAGCAAGTGCCAAATTTCTTATATTTTTTTTTGTCGAATGCACCAAAATAAGTTCATCATTCTAAATAAAAATATTTAAATATATAAATAGTATAATTCAGGTATGATTTTTTTTTACTTGTTTTGATGGGCCTACAATAGGCAATGAAACTTCTTCAACAGTAATATAATCATTTGTTACATACGAATGAAGATTTTTATCACATAAGTATGGTTTTGTATTATATAACAATAAGTACTCTATATGTGATCTTGAATCTATGTATTGATAAATTAAATTCAGCTTTTCAGACTCAGTCAATTGAAGAACAATAGCCATACACTGACATGCTAACCTAAAGTAATAATTTAAATAAAATAATAAACTCAGTACATTTAAATTGCGACAATAGAAATATTTTTAATTATTACCAAACAACATATGAATCATCATGCCTTAAAAACATATGAGCAAAATCTGACCAATTCCATAAATCACGAAAATACTCAGCTGATAATTTCAACAACCACAATACCTTTTCCACTACTTTTACATCATTGTTAGACATCTTCTTTTTTTTTGGCAATGGAGGAATATTAAGTTCAATCCAAGGTGGTGGGTGTTCAGAATAATAATCTAACATTAATCTAAAAATATAAAACAAATTAAATCAACTTAAGTAGTAAAAAGATAACTATCCAATAATTAAAAGTAATTTATACAAAATAAATAAGAACTCATATTATTAAGTAAATAAAATATTATTCAGAAAATTCAATAGGTTTTCTACATAAGGTTATAAATCATATTTTATTATTTTTATGGAAAGATGTGTAAACTTGCGCATGTTTTATTAACAACCTTACCATAGAGTAAAACTTTTAATGGAATTGTTTAATTAGTTTTAATGATGAGGTAGTAGAAACTGTTAAACAGATGGTATATTTAATCAATTTTTACAAAAGTATTTAAATGTAAAATTCAGTCACAAAGTTACAAAATTACTATAAAAAGAAATATAGATACCTTAATTCATCTACATGTAAAGTAGTATCTTCACGTTTCTCATAATCCATAATGCATCAATTGAACTTTACTTTCTTATAAATATATACAAAAGTTATTAGTTTTCGATTACATTCAATTCACTCAAAAGGATTTCGAAAATATTTTAAAATATAAGTCCACGTGCGCCGTGAAAATTGTCTTAGGTGTTATAATATAGACAATGTTACTTTAATGACAAGGAACAACGTGCGCGATATCACACTTTTGAATTTGATAACAAATATCACATCTTGTCTGATAAGAATTTTATAATTCAGCATGAAATGTTCACATTAAACTAAGTATTGAGCTTTATGGATATGTAATAGGATGTATTATACATTTCTTAAGTGAAATAGTGTAAGTATTTTTCGTAATAATTTTCAAAAGGTATTTTTAAAAAACTTAATTTATATTAACTAAGAAATACTATAATTATCTAAATTTATTGACTTTTGAGGATTTATAGTTTAAAAAGATTTTTACACTGAAATTACTTCTCACCTGTTGTTTTATAGTTATATTTTATTCAAGATGATTTTTAAAATTAAAAGTCTTCTTGTCTTAAATAAATGACAACATTATTATTTTTAATATAATTATGCATGCATTTATTCAATTTTCATTTTTTTAGTTAGAAATAATGGATGTTTCAAGTAAAAGTAAAGATATTGCACAGATTCAATATGTAGAATCAAAAATTAAATCTGCTTCTTTTAAATCAACAATACTAGGAGTTGATTTATATAATCAAATCTTTCAATTTAAAAATTGTATATTTATTTTAATTGGCCAAGATAACAATTTTTCAAGTCTTTCTGTAGCCATGACACAAAGAAATAGTAATAATATAATTAATACTTCAATATTTAGTACAGATCCTGATAGTAGGTCTGAATCTATTGCTAGTACTTTATCAAAAAACCTTAAAACATCCCTTCCTATTTATGTTAGTTTTAATAGTAGCATAGAAACTCTTGGCTTGAAAGATGTTATCTTGAGTTTAAATAAATATTTTGATGATCACCCAGAATTAATCATATGAAAATTTGTATAATGTAAACTTAACACATAATTAATTATTTAATTTTTTTTAATTATTAAAATAGTGACATCTTTTATGTTTATTCAAATATTTCCTGTGTCACATTATCATAAAATTAACTATGTAGAGTTTTTTATAAATAAAATGCAACTATATTTGGTTTTATTTTAATTATTTTTTAAAGAGTTTATAAGCATGTTTTTAAGTAATTGAAGATTACATACCTATTTGACATTGTTAAATTGCATTTATTTGGTATGAAACACAAAATAATCTTATACAAAAAGTCATTTCATTGTTCAAAATCTGTTTCTAAATTTTCGAAATGTTTCATTTTTAATAAGTACACAGCGATTTAACCATGTTATCTTTGTGAGAGGTGTATAATCATAAAAACTTGGTACTAAATTTGCTTATCCTCAAATATGGTAATATTAAAAAGAATATTTTTTTTTTTTTTAATATTATATAATATTAATATATATAGTGAAAAATTATTGAAAGTTAAATATCATTTTTCTGGCCAAAAATGTTAAATGACTAAAAAGAGAATAGCCTAAAACTACTTATTAAATATAATAGGTATTGTTCATGGTTTTATTTGAACTAAAGCCGGTCATTGGAATGTTTATAATTTTTATAGAAAAATTCATACTCATATCATATTTAGTGTGTAAAGATGGTGTTTACTTCTGTTTTTTTTTTATATATAACGTAGCCAGGGTTTGATACCATAGAATAAATACAGAAAAATTCAAATTTTTACGAAATTTAAAATGTTACAGAAAATGAACTACCACACATTAATAAAAAATTTTTAACCAAATTATTTTTTAAAAGCTGTTTTGAAATTTTTAAAATTATGCTTTTTTTAATTTAATTATAAAACTGATATTAATATAATTATTATTATAGCCCTCAAGTATATAAACTATTAAAAAAATAAAATTAACTGGATCAAAAGTTATTTAAGTTGTCAGTGAATGCTTGGCCACTCTGTATATATATATTATTAAAAAAGCTTTGCACAAAAAATAATGAATATAAAAAATTATTTGGTTAAAAATGTATTTTTAGACTTAAAATAAGCCCATGGTTAACGTAAATTGTAGCAAAATTACCATATAACTATTTTATATGAATTTTCATAATATTCATGTATAATTCAATAAAACATGGGGATATAAAGCATTTTACTTATTATAGGAACTTAGCCATAGAATTTACTGAAACCGTGGTATAAATTGGGTTATAGGGATTGCCACGAACTGATAATGTTCTGACATTCATATATTCCAACATTGTAAAAAAATCCTCCAAATACATTTATTCCGACAAAAATTACTGCAAATAGGATAATTAATTAATTGCTCCGAATAAAATTTACTCCGAATATGGATAATTCGCGAAATCGATTAATATAATTATCAAATATGATAAAGTAGACGAATATCGTAGAAATATAAATAATTAACATAAAATAGTGTTATAATTGTTTATTGTCTATTTACAATAAAGATCCTTGAAGTATATCCGGCTTTCAAAATAATATGTATTATAGGGTGAAGAAGAGGGCATTAAATTAAAACAACCAGTGAAGTTGAAAATGTTCTACGTTCTATAAGCATTTTTTAGATTTGAACCCCCCTTGTATATAGGAAAATGGTCCGATTTAAAAAAATAGTATGTCGAATGAATGATGTATATAAATACTACTTCTCATGAAAAAATTGTATTGATCCATACATTTTTCAAAAAGTTATAGCATAATAAAGTTAAAAATGTGAAATACAAAATCGAGAATTTTCACACAAAAATAACATTCGGTAGCCATTTTCACCGTGAAGATAAAATGAAGTCCGAAATTTTTTTTCCATTATCAAGTATATTACATTAGCTTTAATTTAAGATATATATAAAAGTGTCAGACTTTCCGGAACATTTTCAAAAGTCAAGTTGAAAAAGTTGTCATTTTAAATCCCTCCTGAGGACAGGTTTAGGGTCAGATTTAAAAAAAAATATACCAAATGATAAGGTAGAACATTATGAATCTATTAAAAAAAAATTATATTGATTTGTTCAATTTTTAAAAAGTTATGGCAGTTTTAAGTAAAAAAAATTTCAAAAATTACCGATTTTTAAATTTGTAATTGTTTTGGAGGTTTCCCCCATTTACGGGGAACGAGGGAAATTTTTCAATTTTTGAGGGTAATGTCTTCGACTAGATCTTTTGACGTATCATTGAAAGAAATCGGTTCGGTGAGAGCTGACAAAAAGTGGTAAGACACAAAAAAAAAAAAAAACACATAGTAAAACCAATACCTTCTCAGCTTCCCATCGAAGCTAATATTTATACTTTTAACCTATATACTCCAAATGAATAATTAAATTAAGTTCTCTTATTAAACCATCAATAAAAATATATTAAAAAAAAATTTATCACATGAATTATTATTATTAAATCCATGTAAAATACTTGAAATGCAAACAAAAAAGAACGTTTGCTTTAACATTGAATTTATTTTTTCCCAATGTGTATAAAAATATAGCAAATTATTATCATGACTATGTACAAATAAAATATAAGCTTTAAAACGGTAAAAATAATGGTTTTTTTTTATGAAAAAGTCTATTAATGTGAAAGAATTTATCACTATCAGTTATAATCACTTTTATATAACTAAATTTTTCGTACAAGGTTCATGTATTCAATTTGATATTCCGCAACCTTTTACATAATTAGATATAAAATACTGAAATTTACCTTTAATACATGTAACTGTTTAATAAAAACTTAAATTATATAGTATTTATTTTAATACACAAATAACATAGATATTTTATACAATAAGTTAATTTTTAAATAGTTCAATATAGCTAATTTTAATATTTTCAATAAAAATATGATGGAAAAATATAAGGACCAGAACTGTTTAATTTAAAATAAAATCTTCTAAATATTCTAAGGGAAAAAATGAATTAACAATTACCCCATTTGTTTACATTTGCCCCATTTCACCTTAAATTAGGAAATATTTTAATTAAAGTTATTGAAATAACCCTAAATTATAATTAATAAGAATCATCGTCTAAAACTTGAACACAATGTTGAAATAATTCATATTTTTAGTTATTTTATTAATGAAAAAAAAAATCATTATCTAATTAATTTTATTAACTTATTTTAAAAAATAACTCAAAGTTATTAAATAATTTGGTTCCTACATGTGGCATAATAAAATTAGAAAGATTGTTAAAAAATTGTGCATATAACAATTTTTTAGTATAATTATAATAATATTTCATTAAATGTTGTAAATAGCATTTTTCACCTCTGAATGATAATAATCTACAGCCATATGAACCATTCACATCTTATGATACTTCATATAAAAGAACAGGTGAGTAAAACTATGGAAATAATATTTAATTTGTTAGTCATACTTAAATTCAATTATGAATTTTCTTTTCTATTTTTTTAAAATAAATTTTTTTTGTAAATAATTCATTTTTTTTATATAACACTGAGAATATTTTTTTACTTTAACTTCACTGTTATTTATTATTATACAGAGACAATTAATAACCAAATTATACTTGAAACGCTTAAATATATAAAATTAAAACAAGTAAATATTTAAAAAGAACTTGTTGCAAATAACTTAATGTTGACACGCATACTATTAGAAATTAAAGCTACTGAAAGTAATATAAAATATAAAATTTTGAATCCAACCTAACCCAGCAGGTATCTGGATACAAACTTTCTGTCTTTATTCCCTATCAAAAACAAGGAAGAATTTCTACATGTTGAAAACTGCATATTAAATGAAGTTAAATTTATTATAAAATTGGTATATTTAATAATATAAAATTAAAAAAATATATATTATAAGAAATTTTATTTTGACAAGATAGCGATAAATTATATGAAATTAAAAAATGATAAAATAAAACATTGTCTTCAATTCTAAATATTTTTAGGAATAATTTATTAAAAGTATTGGTGGATGTGGGTTAAAGAACAATATCATTTGAGTTCTTCCAAAATTATTCAGCGATGAATGTGCTATTACAACAAAATGGACAGGGCGAGTAAAAAATATAACAATAGGTATTTCAGAAACCATAAAAATAATAAAAAGTAATAGAATTGGAATAAAAACAATACATAAGGCGCATAGAGCCAAAATAGCTTAACCCACAAAAAAATATTTTCCGTTTTATGTGATCAAACGTTTTAGAATGATATGATATTTCAAAACCAATGTGGTCCAACCCTAACAAAAAATTATTTTGTAGATGGCACTTAATTTGTTTTGGCATTAATACTTAAATTCCTATTTTCAATTCTAAAGTGACCTAACCTACTGTTAATGGGTTAAGCCATTTTAGTTTCAAAATGCAGTGGTTACATTACAAAAGTGACCAGTATTTTAAGTTTAGTTATAAGTATTCTAATAATCCTGATTTCCCATTTAACTGTGTTTATATTGGTAAAAGAAATTCGAAAATTAAAGACTATACAAAAAAGTTAGATCTATTGTATTCTAATGGTCATATAATCACAAAAACAAAAAAAAAGATTTATTAGATTTACTTGCATTCATACCACCAATAAAACACCAATTTTATAATAGTCTTAAAGTTAATAAAAACATTAATGAAGATTATCCTGATTTAAATGAATGTAAAGATAATGAATAAGAAACTTGGAAACATTTAAACCATTTTTTAAATATTAGAAGTACATAAACATTTTAAGTTGTAGGTACACATTCTTGAGATTTTTTTTTTTTAATATACTTAAGCAGAGAATACTGATAAGTTTTTGTTTATTTTATTAAATTTTATGATGGGCAACTGTTATAATTATGTTTCTTTAAAATATAATACAAAGTTAAAAGGAGTAATACAGATTTTTATTATCACTTAAAGTTATTTTTATTATGTTTAATTTTTAAATGTTTAGAGGATTACACTAATATTTAGTTAAGTATTACAATATTACTATTATAATATTAAAATTATTAATTTTTTTGTTTTGTTTTTTGCACTAAGCATAGAAGACATAATGTGATAACTACTATTAATATTAATGATCTCTACAATAATTATAAAATGTTAATTTTATACAGATTGTTTTGATTAATTAAAAAAATTTTATGATGATTGAAGTGTAATAATTATTATAATATGAATGTTGTAGGAAAACAATTGATTATTATAAGTAAGTTATTTTTATCATGTGTCATTTTAAAATATTTATTGAAGTAAATTACAATTTTGATATGTAGTCTATTATAATAATAATGATAAAATTATTATTATTTTACATGAAGCTCAGAATACTAATTTTATGAAGTGATCTTATTCTATAAAAAATGTATATTTGTAAGTCAGTTGTTTAATATTTATATAACAAATTCAATACAGTATAACCAAATGTACAGTTCAGAAGATTTAGATTATAGTAAATTATACATTTTCAAGTGTTGGACTAACCCACTCAAAATTTAATTTGATGAAAATTTTTCAAAATGTAGTGTGGCCTAACTGACATTAAACCTTAATCACCTTTAAATAGGTTAGTGCTTTATAGATGGTTTAAAAGGCAAAGTTTTATACATACTAAAGAAGTTTTATTATGATTCTTATAGTGAATTGAATAATAAAAAAAAAAATTTTAAATAGTCAATGCTTTAATTGTCCGCCCTGAATAATTTCACTTTAGTGGGTTAAGCTGTTTTGGTTCTATGCGCCTTACATATATATAGTAGTTCTGGATTAATGTATAATTTTACAGGGATTATAAAAGATAATTCTAATAACACATTAACCGATTCAGAAGTTGATAGAGTAGATGCTAAATGGGTGTGTCATGCTAACACTCGCTTAAATAGATTAAAATGAATAGTTATTATCAAGAATTTATTGTAATAAGTCTAATTATAATAGACATAATAATATTTCAATTTGTAAAGTCTAGTTTCATTTGGTGGTTCTTAATTTTTAAACAATTAATGCATGTTTAATTTAAATAGAATATTAAATAATAAGATATTCAAAAAATATTATTACTCTTTCAATTATCATTTTATACTAATCTTGAGAATTTGTTTAATAGTATTAAACGAGATTCATATCTGACACGACGCTTCGTGATACACGACTCGTGCCACCTTATTAGCCTTCGATTATTTGACTGACCAACGGATGCCTTACGCCACGATAGAAAATGTAGCAAGAGCCGCACGACCGACGACGAACTGCTGCAAATTAGTGATGGGACGTTCACGAACGAACGGATCTTTTTGAACGGGTCATATCAGTGAACGAGTTGATCCGGATCGCAAAAAAAATAGATATCGTTCATTCGTTCATACGTTCGTTTCACGCAATATATCGGACAGTGTTTCATGATTCGTTCATTTACTAAACGTTTACCTGTACTTCAATTAAAACCTATGCCTAACCTTATATTCTTATAATATAAAAATTTAAAAAAAAAAACGAAGAATATATTCTTTACAAGTATATACTTATAATGTTTTCTTAAAAAATTAAATAAAAATATACTTATTGCCAATGAGAGTTTAAAAGCAACACTATTTGGTTTGTGATAAAAACATTTTTATTGTAGGTCTGCAGACTAAATTTTCAAAGTTGTGACATGTTTCTACTAACATAATCATGCAGGTTTAAAACAGTTAGATTATTTCAAGTATACTACTATATTGTTCATTTGAAGAACAATTTTGATTATCAATATATAGTTATTTATTTCATAAATATTACATTCATATAATTATTTATAAGCGAAAATAGGTCTATGAATTAGTGAATTTAGCAACTAGGACAAAAATTGACTATTAGACTAATATAATTGTTGTGAGAGGTATTAAACCACCTCACTTTTATAATCTGGTCATAGCTGCTGTAAATTGTAATATCTGATTTAGGTGAATTAATTTCTCTATAAAACTCCTTTTATGAAAACAAATAATTTAAATGATTTCGCTTATTATAGAAACAAATTCTATGGATTTATGTACCGCAATTCATCCGCTAGTATAAATTATTTGTTTTTATTCTATACAAAAATATTCGTGTATAACAGCATATTATGTTATTTCAAGTAATTTGTATTTGAAAAAATATATAACCCGATTATACAAGTGTATTATCAGTAAAAAATCTAATATCACGGTAATGTTACATAGTGAAAATGCGAATTTGAACGACTCGTTCAGGAAAACCATAGTAAGGAGTAATTGATAAGAACCGTGACCAATCGTAAGAAATGAACGAAAGAACGAGTTATATGAACTGGTCATTTGAACGATCCGGATCGTTCGATTGACCCGAAATTCCCATCACTACTGCAAATGATACGTTGCGTCTTCTTCCCGTTGTGACCATGTCGAGGGTGTACGCCACCAACTCCGGACGTGCCGCACGACAGGACTAGACGAACCGTTACGCACCCACGCACCTGCGCACCGTCGCCTTCAACGCTGCTAACTTTTTGACGCCGAGATCATGCCGGACACCGTGTCGCTAACGTCAGCGAAAGTGCCTCGATATTGTGCGACGATTATTAGTAGTGATGGGCATAATCGAATGATTTCGATAATCGAATGATTAGTAATCGAGACATTTTCATAATCGAGTGAATCTCTCGAAAAATCACTCGAAGTTAAAATCGTCTGCTCGTATGATAAGAATAATCAACTATTATTATTTATCGAGAGAATCGAAAAATTATACGAAATATGAATAAATATACCTATAGTAAATAATTATTAATTTAATTTTGCTTTTTTTATTTGTTGGTGTTTATTTATAATTAATATATTAAACTATAATTTAGGAATAATAATAACAATAATATATTAATAATGCATTATTAATAAGTGCTTTAAATAAAAGACAAGTTGTTATTTTTTTTATTTAATAATTATTACCTATATTTTAAAAAAACCGATAACAAATTTAAAAATAAAAACATAAGATAAGGTAGCAATAGCCTGCTTGACCATCATAATTAAAACACCTAATTCCACACCTAATTGATTTTTCATAAATTCACAACTAGTGAGAGAATCAGAACTCAGTAGTTTAGCCAGTTCAGGACAAAACTTTGTTCTAATCGTCACATACTTCCCAAAAATGTGACAGATAAGGTGTTGCCATGAGTAGCGATTGAACGAGTTGAAAATAAGACTCGAAGTCAACAATTTAATAATAATTCGACTATAATTTATGCTAAATAAAAACTTAAAAATAGTATTCTCTCGTTTCATCGTTTCATGGACATCATTCGAAATAACTTTTATTCGATTATATACATTTCAAGATCAAGAAATCATTGTTTTTATAATAAACGAGAAATCATTAGAAATAATCACTCGATTATAGAATAATCAATATTATTCTAATATTATTTATTAAAAAAATCAGAATATCTCGATTATATAATTGATATGATTTCAATAATCGAAATATCTCGATTATTTTCATAATCGAGATATCTCGATTATGCCCATCACTAATTATTAGTAATTGTGTTCGTCTTTTAGGTTTGTTTGTTTTTTAAATAATCTGTTGTTTCTTATTAATAAACGGCCCGCAGGTCTCTACCCTCAAAACCAATGTCGAATCTACATTATTGCGGCGTAAGTCGTGTCATCTTAACGATATCAATTTTTGTTGTAAATGAATGTAAAAATATAATATGTTGCGAAATTAATCCTATCAGAAAACTTGGGGTTTACTTTTAATAAAACAATTATTTTGTTTTATTTTTCAAAATATTAGTAAAAAAAGAAATAAAAAAGTATCCTATATTTCTACAAAGTACTTTATAAAGTTAATTAAACTAGAACAAGAAAATCGTGTCCCCACTGAAACATTATCTGTAAGTAATTTGAGTGCAGTGACTAGTGTTATAAATGATACACCACCTTCTCATAATTCTGTTAAAGAAATAACTCATTCTGAATGTCATAATATTTTTTAAAAACCACCTAATTTCAAACCTCATCATTCTAACCTGTATGTCGATACTTCTAATGTTATGCAAGTAATAAACCCTCAATTTTTACCCCTACCAAGTACTCCCTTAAATTTAAGTGATACATGAAGGTCATTATTTGTAAAATATTAAGTTTCACATAACTTTTGTAATAACTTGCTTCAAATTTTACAAAGTGAAGGATTAGTTGTTCCTAATAATATAAGAACTTTATTGAAAACTCAAAAAAATCATGAAATTATAGATATAACTGGCGGTTCTTGTACACAATTAGGAATAAAATACATGCTAATTTCTTTTTTGAAAACAAATAATGCTGAAAAATATATTTCACTTTATATTTTTAAAATAGGCATTAACCCACACAACAAAAAAAAATTTTAATAGATAGAATTATTACGCATCGATTACTTGGAAAACATTAGTAATTAAATTTTATGACAAAATTCCCACAATGTTACATTTTTATCTTAGTTCTTCAATATTATAATAATATTCATTGATTCTACTTTAAATATTTATTTTTGAATTCGCGTCAACATTTATGTAATACTATTTTGTTAATATTAATTCAATTTGATTTTAAAATATTAGCGTAAATTTATAATTAAATTTTTTTCAAATTTTAGTTATAATTATAATTATTTAATATGTCAGCATTTTAAATGAACATATTCACCTGTTAACATTTGAATATGATTTTATGATATTACCAAAATAAGTTTGTATTATCTACTATAAATACAAATATTTGCCAATATTGGCAATATAAATTTATATTGCCGAAAAAATATTTAAAATAAAAATATTGTTTTGAAATTTTTAAATACTTGTTGATTAACAAGCACTATACCTTTCGAAGGTTATAGCAAGAGCACTATTTAATTAATTGTATTTCAGTTTTCAAGGAGTGCAATTTTGATCATTTTCCAGAACCACAACTTAAGTTGTGTCCCTGGAAAATTAATTAATACAATTCAATACATCATAATCATGATTTTTTATGTGACAAGATATTTCCCAAGAAAATCGGGCAATAAAGCTACCAGGTTTTCCACATTATGTTGATAAATTTACAGTTAAATAATTATATGATTAACGCTTGAAATTAATAATCGAGTGTACATTTCATTCATGTAATTAGACTAAATATACCTAGCCTTCATAAATTGTAAAATAAAAATACCAGCACAGGGGGGTCGCGGCACAGTGGTGACGTGGCATAGTTGGATCAAGTATAATGATATCTGACAGTGATTAAAATCACTATAAAATAAATATAGTTTAAAAAAACTAAAAAAACACGCTTTTAAAGCACATCGAACTAAAAAGTTAAAAATAATTTTTAAAATAAGCTTAAAACAATAATGAACGAAAAATACTAGTATTATTGT